ATAACAATGAGGGGTTTAAACCATGACTTTAATGCTAAGTAATTTTTTGTGTGAAACTATCAGCGCATAGGGAAACAGAAAACAACTAAAAGAAATTTGGTGGTTGCACACAATAATAATAGTAATTAACTTCTGATATGTTTTCAGAAAAAATTCAAGTTATAAGTAACATCTTTTTGGAGAGGTGATAATGCTAATCACTCTTTCTGTGTAATTCATCACTCAATTTGACATAATTTTGTGAGATAATCTATTTTTTTTATCAGATCAGATATAGCTAAACAAATTTTTGGCCCCCTCGAAGTTCATTATAACCGGTTTCAAATGTATATAAGTTTGCCGCATTGTGGAAAGACGGTGGCAGCTAGAGCGACCAGATTTTAATCACATGTAGTCGTGTACCTTTAAATCCGACTTGAATTGATTTTTTTCTTTTATTTATTTTTGTGGGACTTTCAAGAATTTTTTAATATTTTCTGACAATCAACTTTGTCTTCGCCCAATTTCAAATTTTATATCATTGTAAATTACAGGCATTTATCTTTCACAAAAAGCGTGCTTTACTTCTACATCTTAAAAATCGTATTTTTTTATGATTAACATGAGTCACAAAAAAATGGGACAATTGTTTTTAAATTTTCAATTATATATATTATATATATATAAACTAATGATCACAGAACATATAATAATAATAAATAATTCAAATTTAAATCTCTATTCCACTAAAAAAGCAACAGAAGAATAAAAAACAAATACTGTACTGAATATAACCACATCATAAAACTGAAAAAGTGAAATACAAACGTAAATTTTTTTATAAAAAAAAATCAAAAGATAATAAAAATAAAAAGGATTATAAGAAATAAAAAAGGTTTAAATTTTTCGTAATATCTTTATTGAGAGGGTGACGTCCCGAAAAATAGTGGGGAGGCCTGTTTTTGAGCTAAGAATATAGTAAGGCCAAATAATTTCAATAATTAAAAACTTAGATTCAATTGCTTATTGTTTGCTCAACCCCAACAGATTAGGAATTCAGTGCATTTATTTATACATTTTCCCTAACTTATTACTTACATATTTCTTTTCAGTTTATATATGTAATGTCCACAATCAACCTTCGTTTTCGCAATTACTGGCCGTGGATATATACTTCCAACTACAATGTTTCAAATGACACAAATATTCATGTTTGGGCATTTTTAAATTTAAGAAGATAATGTTGAAAAAATGTGAAAACTAACTTACAAATGTTCTTCCGGTCCTTATCGATATCTACGGAAATGTTACTGTTATTAGAAAAATAAATTATTTACTCTTATTATAAAAAATAAAATATAAAGGATTTGCTATCATGTGACAAACATATTGCATTTTAAAATTACTAATCATATTCAGGGGCTGTATGAAGAATGAAATGTTTGCATTTATAGATACATAACTAAAAATAAAATACTAGTTAAAAATTAGTTCTGGTATTAATAGATTAAGGGGCGAGTATTTCTGTGAAGATTGTCATAAAACCTATTGACCAATACAAACTTTCAGAAAAAATTATATCATTTACAAAATCATAGAATTCATGTTAAATATATCAGCAAACTTCAATATCGACACATAGCCAACTCGTAACAAATATACTTTAAAATTTGAAACGCTTATACATAAATTTTTTATGTGAATGTTGGATAATGATTCTAAAGTAATAAAACTTCATGGGAGTATAATGTATTTTTAAACTGCGAAAATCTATAAATTACTGGTGTGAAAGTTCTTTTGGCATAACATATTTAAAAAAATTATAAATTAAAGGTATTAGTTAATCACAAAACAATATTATTTTTTAGACAATACCAACTTCGAATTATTCCAATTCATTTATTAACTGACTCTTCAAGGCTAATTGAACATGTTGTCAAAAATCACAAATTTTGAAATTAAATATCTTGTCAATTTTTGTCATATGGGACTCATTTTTTTTTTTTTTCCATTTTTATAATGAGTATAAAATGTTTCTAAATGTAAGTATAGGGAATGAAGCACTGCATAAAAAATTAATTTTGTAATTTTTTATGAAACTGATTTTTGCAAACTTAAACACGCAGAAACATGAATCTTTACAACATCTCATTCTGCAATTGAAAATATGTCTACGATCAACAGCTGCATAAATAAAGGCCAGGTAAGAACTTATGTGTATGGATATTATTTTAAAACTAAGGAATTTCTACTTCTAATAAATCATGTCTGATGAAATCACCTTTTATTTAAAAAATAATTTATATGATTTTTAAGGCAGGACTATTATTTTCAAAACAAGATTTAAACTGAAATTCTCATTTATATGTCTTTTTTGAAGAATCCATAAAAGATGTATAAACAATGCTGAAGTTTAAATTAAAATAATTTGAGCCAGCAGGACTGAATTGTTAATTTTATCAGTTTTCAAAATTTCAAATGTAGCAAAGTTACAAGCTACACATTTTCAGAAAAATTGCAGCATTCAGATGCCTTATGCAAATCAAATACCCACTTATTATGAAATTATATACAAGACACTTTTTTAAAAAACAGATTGCAGAAATGCCAGCAAACTGCATTTTATAAAACAAAACAGACACATAATTTTTTTTATTGATGTGTTATCTATTTAAAGATATTCACTTTTACTTAACTATAGTCTTTCTCAGTATACGCAGAAACAAAAACAGCAATGTCCAGGCATTTATGCTACATTAAAAAGGAATTTCAAATATATATAATTGCATTATCAAAACTTCCTATATCTATAAACAAAGAAAAGAGGAATGAATGACTGAGAGTACCTAAAACTATCATTATCATGCTGTTAAAAATTTGTAATTAAAAAAAAAATGTTAAAAGTTAAGTGCTGTTAAAAATTTGTAATTAAAAAAAAAAATGTTAAAAGTTAAGTGCTGTTAAAAATTTGTAAATAGAAAAGACACATATATGTCAGAAATACCTTTAGTTATACCTATATGTTATTAGGTATATCTGTACATTAGAAATACCTTTAGTAGAATCTTTCCAAAAATAATCCAAAGCTTCCAAAAATATTTCCAAAGCTATGCTACCCAGTATTTATCATTCACTGCTTTAGCAAATATTGACACATTAACAACATTGCATAATCTCGCAACGGTGACTGAAAACCCACTGATCACAAGTGACCAATGATGTTGATGGTCACTGATGTTCTTTTCTTTCATTTAATTTTAATTATGTAGCCAAACTTACTGTGTTGCCCTACATCAGTATTGACAACCAGTGACTAATTCCTTTGGTGGGTACTAATGTTCTCTTGCTTGTTTTAGAAATTCGTCTATAGAAGTTTGCATGTGTCTTGCACTGATCTATGGGTTGACTTCCAGCAATCCTCAAACTGCAGATCATTAATGACCAACAGCCTTAATGCCAATAACATGCTTCATTTTAATTTAAAAGCCTAAATTAATGGCACTGCACTACTGGTTGCAGGTCTGAAGCAGTGACCATCACATATACATCACTGATGATAAACAGCCTTCATAGGCATTAGTACCCTTTTTATTTTAATTTCAAAATGCATTTAACTTTATTGCAGCACCAACATTCTTTACCCATGATTTGAATGCCAGTGTCTATCAACCCATAAGTCACTGGTGACAATGACTGTTAAGCTGAAGATAATGATGATCATATAAGCACAAGTAATGTCTCAGTTTATTTTTAAAATTTATCTTAATTTACTGTAATGCCTAGAGTTAAGACTAGGGATAAACGAGCTATACTGTACGTAACCAGTGACCAACAGCTCAGGGTGGCATCAGTGTGCTTTGAATTAATTTGTTTTAAGGATGTAACTAAATTAATTACCAGAGATTAATAATGAACAGTTGCTCGATGGTGATTGAGTGCCCTAATCAGTACTAATGTGCTCAGATTTTATTCTAATTGAAATATTTATGTGAATTTAGTGCCCCCACTCCGTACTAGACACATCCGGTTGATCCAATGACCACGATGATAATTACCATTGAATGAAATATGACATTTATAATTTATCCTTCATGTGTCTTTAACGCATAACAAATTCTCAGAGTGTTACCATTCAACAAAACGTAGAATTTTCAACAGAATTTAATAATTAAACAGTCAGTAACTGTTTAACAAACCAAATGATTTAAAAACATTAATGATTTAAGTTTTCATATCTAATTGATATAAATTAAAATACAGGTTAAAAGAGTAAAATAAAATAAGTTGTTTACACATTTTTAGAACAATTTATATAAAGATTTTTTTTTTTTTTTTTTTTTTTTTTTTTTTTAAGGAGCAAATGTTTGTGGGAAAAATTCTGGCAACAGCCTATAATTTGAAATAAGAAATATTATTTGCTACTTTTAAATTTATCTTTTTCAAAATGTCACATGTAAACAAGTTGTGGATTGAAAAATATGTTTTTGCACTTTCTGAAGATATATACAGTTCAAAAATGCTGTAAAATGTGCAGTATTAAAATTTCTAAATGCAAAATAAGCAACATAATTAAAAGGAAATTTATGTACAAACCCACCAGGATTGATGGATTCCTGAAAGTAGTGGAAGAGGAATGAAGATCAGTCCCCTGAAAATTTCATGAAACCCTCTCTACCATGCTAATCACAATGCAGAATATCCCCCTATAGTCCCCCCCCCCCAAAAAAGGCTGTCAGATCATACATTTAAGAAAATACTCTTTACACTTTAAACATTAATTAAATGACCACAAAATCATTTGAAAAATGGGTAAACATCCTCTGTACTTTAAAATAATACTACTGCAATTAGCGGAAGCTAATTTTAACATCATACATATATAAATACACCTGGCATAGAATCTTTTTTTTAATGCTAGGTGCTTTTGAAACAGATCTATGTGACAATTGTTTTTCACATTAAAACTAAACATTTACAAAAATACTTTGCATTATTTTAATAAAATTCACATATGCTAGATGTAAGCAGACAGTATAAATTTTATTGATACACAAATTAAAATATCACTTATGACATTTCCAAAAATAGTTTGTACACAAAAGCAGATTTTAGAGTAAATCATGCAGAGGCTTTGACTTTAGTATGTGCAGGTATGTACAATTTGAATTCAGCAGGGAGTTCATCTTCAGAATAAAGTCTATCAGAAAAATAGACTCGTCTTACTCTGCAGTTTGCATGTATCTATAAATAATGAAGCAAATAACTTTTATGTTCATCAAATTGTTAAAAAAAAAAAGGGATATAAATTTAAAGTTTAAATAATAAATACCATACATAGAATTAATTCATTAAGAACTTAAAAAGAAACATTATATAAATTGGAATAAAATAATTATAACAGTTTAAACTTATTCGAAATAATATACTTTATTATTCATCACTAGCTGGGTCTGTCAAATTGCACTATCTGGATTCTTAAAGCATTATATATATATTTTTTCATTTTTGTGTTAACTATTTTAGATGACTGACTATATTAGTGGTTATTATAACATAGATTTATCACATTACTAGTTTTAAATATCAAATTTTCAATAAAAATGCACACTAAAAAGCGATTACATATTAAGGTGCCATATTTACGTTGTACAAATTAAACTAATGTATATTATGTAGAATACAGTCCTGGCTAATGCAAGAAGTACAATCATTTAAGGAAAGCTAAGACTTGGCTTATTTTGATAGGCATCTAAAAGTTGCTACTGTTTGGATTTCTTCAATGTCAGAAAAACTCTTTCCTTTGAAAGAATATTTTAATTTTAAAGCAGTCATTAAGGAATAATCTGGGAAGAAGAGAAATAATTGAACACACATATACTTTTGGGGCCTGGATGTAGCTGTATATGCACAGACTAGTGTGAAAGTGTGTTGTTGGACAGTATAACACATTTATATATATGATTTTTGATTGACATGAAAAAGAAATCATCTGGTTAGTTCTGCGAAATAAAATTTGTTCTCAACCAGTTTGAATCTGTCAATGTTATAGGAATAAAATCTTACTATTTAATTACCACACCTGATACCTTAATTATGATAAATTTAGCAAATGTCTTGTTAGTTAATTTAAATATTTTCTGAAATGAATATAACTCACCTGAACTCTCAGTGTTTCTACATAATTAGTTCCATATGCTCTCCTTGTAAAATCTGCTAAATTAAACTGAATTTGATTCCAGCCATCATCTAGTCGAAGAGGCATAGTACAAATGAAAGGCTTGACTCGAGTTGTACTTTGATAATTACTTGCACGAAATCTTCTTCTAACATTTTTGTCATCAACAACCTGAGGAAAAAATCAAAAATGGTAAAACAAATTTATGAAGATAAGACCATGCACACTAGTCATACAATAATTATATCAATTGTTAATCGTGTAACAAACTTTGTACATATGTAAAGACTATTAATGAAATTATATGTAAAATTGTAGTATCTGACGTATAATGTAATATGAAACACCTACCTGAAAAAAGAGATTCTGGTAGTATTGGTTTGAATTGGAGAGTTCTGAGAAAAAGCATCACAACTGGAGGCCAGAACTGCAGTTGTTTTTAGCACCCGGGGATAACTGAATATCTCGGACAACTGAATATATCAGTAGTATATATAATTTTAGAATGAATTTTTTTTATGCTCTCGGTAAACAAGAGCAGAAAAAATTTCATTCTAAAATTACTTAACATCAATTTGGCACCCATTGGAAACTGCGCCCAGGGACAAATGTTCCCTCCTTGCCATCCCTCTAGCTACACCGTTGCTGGAGATGATATTCAATCTAGCTGAGGAAACAATGTCCTGCCTACATGGAACATTTTGAAACTTTGCTAAAATTTTTTTGTTTGCAGCTGTGTCTCCCATAGAAATCAACCAATCAGATGAAAGTTCTGCTTCTGAAGGATCATGGGTAATTTCCAATATGGCGTTAGCTGCAATTTGAACGAAAAAAATTGCATTTGTATAGTATGTTTTTATAATATACCCATCTAAATCATTTTTAAAATGTTTATATGGTTGCATGCGTACGGGTTTGCAGTAGACTGAATGCACACATTTCTGACGATAGGTTGATAAAATTTATTTTATCAAAATAAACACTTCAGAAATCTGGAACTTCCCACAAGAATAGTCGTACAACTTTTCACAATATCACAGAGTACAATCAGTAGTAACCCTTTAAACTACTATGAACATTAAAGACAACGGAATGCAAAATGTAGATCAAGAACAAAGCTATACTCAGAACTCAAGCTGAGCTAACAGTTAATAACAGAAAGCAGATGCTCTCACTGGCCTTATATAGTTTTCCCCTGGTTGCCGAGATATTTCTAGTACTTTCTGCTTTTTGAAATTACTCAAAGGCAGTATGAGGGATGAATTATGGTTACAATTAATAGAGTGATCAATTGCATTTATTCAATTACAGGGACCATACTGGTGCTACTTTGGTAGATGGTTGCATGGATTTTGGCGAGTGATACGACTTATGGTAAACCCATTGCTAGACAAGTTATTTATGGTAACCGATACTCTGTTGTCATTTTATTTAAAAAATAATGTGTTTTATTATGCATAAATTCTGTGTTTTAAATATTATTTATGGCTTCTAAATATTAAAAATGAATGTAATTTTGCATTTTTATTTGAAATAAAAATTTTATTGTTTATGATATTTTATTAAATTTTATGTTGTGGATGATGTAATGTATGACGTCACATTACTTTAAAAGTAATTGGTTTTAATATCTATAAATTTAATCTAATGTTTTAAACATTATTTATGTCTGCTAAATATTAAAATACAATTAATTTTGCATTTTTTTAAAATGATCTTATTATGTATGATTATTTAAATAATTTTAATTCTATTCGTGATGTAATCAGCTCCTTGATTGGTTACAGAATATTTGCGCATCAACAAGCTGTAATCAGCTCCCTGATTGGTTACTGAATATTTGTGCATCACAGCATTTTTAAAATTTTATTATTCATCTCTTTGAATTCCTTAGATTACATTTTTCAAACTTTTTTACAAATTTTTTCCCTTAGATTACATTTTAAAAATTACATTACATTTTTCAAATTTTTTTCATTGATATCTAAATTATAATTCCGATTTTTTTGTGGTACTTACCAATATACGACAGGTTAAATACTCAAAAAAATGTAAGTACATATTTTTCTTTTACTTTATAATTGTATACTTCAATTTTTATTAAAAAAATTAATACACGGTTTTCAAAAATTGCCAAGATATTTATCACCACATATGTTTTAATGTTAAATAATTATATCCTACAAAACTTACTTTAAAGGATTTGAATTTAAATAATATTTTAATTCTTTTAAACATTGGTATGATGGTTTTAATTTGATATTCAATTTAAGTAATATTGTAATTCTTTTAAAAGTTTGTATGATGTTTTTAATTCGATATTCAATTTAAGTAATATTTTAATCCAATTAAATATTGGCGCAATGTATTTATAGCGGTGTTTTTATTCTATTTCTTTGCTATATGAAAGCAATAATTTAACCTTACTTTAGTATCTTATAATCATAGTAAATGTATTTATTTACATTTGCCTGCCAGCTTAAAAAATGACATTTTCAACAAAAAATTAATCCATTATTTTTAACGATATTTATTTTTTTAAAGTTTTCAATACTATATGTAATTCAATGCTAAATGGACTTACCCCTGTATTTTTACTTTTCCATCCCATCTTTCCTCTTTAGATTTTTCATGTCATATTGCACAGGAAAATACAACAATTTCACATATAACCCACTAAAATCATCTATTCATGTACAAAATTTATAACAATATACTGATTAAATATATAATTGCAGAAATTTCAGAGTAGACAGTATTTTAGGACATTCCTGTACTTCTGGTGATTTGTTTACAAATTTTTCGTCACCAAAATTTTGCCAAATTTGTCATATTTCATGTTGACCCATAGCGTACCGTACAGAAACATCATCGTTATACATTAATCGAATTCTTTTCACTAAATTTAATGTGAATAATTTTTTAAAATCTATTTATATATGTATGACTTTACTTTTTTACTAATCACTTAAATTATTTATTGCATAATCAGTGACATACTGTAAACTACATAAAAGGTGCATCATAAAAAAGAAAGCATAGCTTATGTAATAATGAGAATACTCATTAAATTTATACACTATTATTTTTGTGTTATTGATTAAATACTTTTTTTTAAATTATAAATACATTAGAAACTATACTTTTATTGTAAATGCTACATATTGTAAGAATTAAAAATAATGGATTTATTATTATGCAGGATGAAAAAACATTTGTATATACATCCATCAATAACTTCTAAACCATCGCACCTCTCTCTCTCTATGTGTAAGTAAATATATGACTTGTACTTATCAGTTCTTTGCACATTATCCTGGCCATGGAATATACAGCTGAAAAATAACTAATGAGCATAAACATGAAAGAGTGCACACTTTTTGTTTTGGGGATAATACACAATTATATCGTTTGAATGACTTACATAGTATAAACATGACTTATGAATAACAGGGAATTTAACAGCTATGCATTTATGAATATTTGATCATTTAAAACATACATGGCCCAACTAATTATCACTTTGATGTGTGTTTACTTAAGAGATCATATGGTACTTTCTCATTATGTGCACCTCCTGATTTCAAGAGTAGGTAAAATTAATGTGTTTTGGGTATACTATTGAGTGTTATATAGGGACAGTAACTAACTTATACATGTTTGAGTGTCCATGTGTTTATATGCTTTATTTAATCTTCATTTTGCTGAATAGTATCTGTTGTCTGTGAGGATGTAAACTTCAGCCATACATATTTTTGTCGTAAAAGTTCTTGTATTTTTATGCTTTTCATAACTTTTCTGTTATCTTCCATAAATAATAAAGTTTACAATAATAAGAATGTGAGCAATACAACATGCAATATGAAAACAAGTCTTTTTGAAAATCTGAGTGATAATTGATTCCTGTTTGGCTTTCAAGTCTGTTTACTAAGTGAAGATGGTAACCCAGCTACACAGGTTTAGTGGAAATGAAGCTTCTGAGAAATTGTTCCTTTGACGTAGTGTTTCAGAAAGGAATAGCAGATATGATAGTGGTTTTAAATTGTGTTGTGCTTAACATTCTTAGTAGTTTGAATTAGTAGTCTGAATGCTCAAAATTTCCTCGAAAAGCCTTATTTTAAATTACAGAGGGTAAGTCTACTAAATGTAGAATTTTACTGCTTCTCTAATCAGAGAATTTTTGGGTCCCGTGGCCTTGGGTTTCACCACTTTATAGCTTTGAGAATGTTTTCAAAGTCTAATCAAGACCTTTGAGAAAGTTTGCAGTCTACTCGTGAATAACACTTTAACATGGTAGTAAATTCGTTAAAGTACCAGTGCAACAGTACTTGCTAATTCATAAAGAATTTCATGGATTATTATCTGCATTATATAATCAAAGATGTGTAATTATTTCTTCAATATCACGATCAAAATTTGCATGTATAAAATATACGGAATATGATATTTTTCCTAAATAAGAATTTCTTTGATTTACATTTAAAAAAAAATTCCCTCTGTTATTCTTTCTCTGAAATAAAAAACAAATGGTAAATTCAAAAATTTTAAATTAATCTACACTACAATTTCGTAAAATGAAAATTTTATATTACCTGCACTTCAAATGTGAAGTACTTTTTCAGGTTCTTCACAATAAGTACTAGAAATGGCAATTTAATTCCTAGAGTTTTTCTAGGATCTGCTGGACAAGTAATGTAAGCAGTACTGAAAGTAATAAGAAAAGAATAATTAGTATTCTCAAAATTACTTAGTTATGTTTAAAATTTAATGAAAACGTAATAAAAACCATTCAATAATATTATTAACAACTATGAAAATAAAATGGACCAAAGACAAAACAAATTACTTAAACTGAAGTCTAGATGGGCCATTGCTGAATTAAAATAACTGGACTCAACTAAGTAATTTTTTATCTGCAGGATCTTTCGACCATCTTATTCAAGAAAAAGTCAAAAGAAATAATTTTAAAGAATAAAATAGAATGCCATCAAAGGGATAAAATTCATATAAATTTATAAAGTATTGAACTGTGAAAAAAAGGAAGAGGGGGATATTAGAACACAATACAGATTGTTTTACTTAACAAGATTACCTTACAAAAAAGTTGTTGATTAAAAATATTTAAAAAAACTTACAACAGAGATTCTATTCAAATTTATTACTGAATATAATGATAAAGATTTATTATGAAAGGCCTATCAGTGATTAGCTGGATCAAAACTGCATCTACCAAAACTGAACCCAGAATCATGAAATGAGCTAGCTATATGGTAAATTTTCTTAGAAACATCTCAATAAAGACATCCCTCCAGTTAAACAGGTAGCCCTCATGTGTTTTGCTTTAACTCTTTGAAGGGCAGTGGTTACCTACAGTAACCACCGTTTCTATTGAACGTCTTACTCACTTGTGTGAGTTGTTTTCAAGACTGACCGTTTTTGAAGTTCCCTTGTAGCTCACTAGATGGCAATCAAGAAACATACGCCAGTAATTGATATAGTAATCCATCTTTACGAAAAAAGCGTCAGCCATCAAAGATAACATCGCGATAATGTGCATTCTGCAGCACCAAGACAAAGCCTGTACAAACAGTGTGGGTAATGTAGCACATGCAAAGTTGCACTCTGCTTGAAAAGAAAAACTCTTTCCATAAGTACCATAGAGACTGATTTGTAGGGATGTGTTCTCTGGGCGCTGGTCACCAACATTAACCACCAGAAGTGGAGTTTTAATGGAGTGGTGAATACTGTATTTGATGGCTTCTAGTATTGCAATTGCTTCTGTTTAGAAAACACTATTTTCTATAGATAGCTGAAACTTTTTCTCTTTTTTCAACTGGACTTTTAGTGTATATCCCTTTCCACATTCTAGGCCGCAGCCGTATGTGTAAATTTGTTCATTAATGGCTCTTTGTTGGTGCAGACAGTTATATTGTTCTTCACTGCAGGATGTTGCTCATAAGCGCATGAGGGAGATGAGTAGCATTCTGCTTTGAATGCTTTTCCATTATGAGTGCAATTCTTTCTTAAGTGCAGTACAGCTGTTTTTATGTACTCTCTTTCTGCTGCTATGAAGAGGGGAAATTTTAGCAATCTGGCACGATGCAGCATTCAATGTAGTTTTATATCCTTTAGTGTAATTGAGAAGAAAAGGTCTTTGAACTGTTTACAATTTTCTCAGTTTATGGGAAGACATTGGGTTTGATGAAACTGCTGCATCGTATAGAACTATTTTTTCGATTACAGAGAAATAAATCAGCTTTTGTATTTTAATGTTTATGCCTTATCCAATTTTAGATATTTTGTTTTTGACATAATCTAGATGATTCACAAAGTTCAGTCTGTTAGGATCATCTTGAATGGCGAAACATGAAGCAACACGTCTAAATGCAGAGCCAGTGAGACTACAAGTGGTATCCTGAGAAATGGCTCTCCATTCCCTGCCAACCATTTTCCACAGTTTGGCTTCTGAACGCGATAATGTAAGGGTCTGCAAATGGCATACAGTAACATTCCAAATGTATTCGAGTGGTGAGAGGTCAGGAGAGAATGGTGGCTAGGGAAGCAATGATACCCAAGCCATGATACCACGTTGTCGTGTGGTGGGGCAGTTTACAGTTACTGCCAGATTAGACCTGTCTCCACATAAATGCCACTCTTACGTGGTAACTATCATTGGAGAAACAGAAGCACGATTCATCTGAGACCACAACCCTGTGCCATTCCATCATCCACATTGCTCGGGCCCAGTACCAATGCAGATGTTGTCACCTATGGGGTAGATGGCAGTCTTCTTAACGGATGCCACGAGTGCAGGCGCTAGCCACCATTTGATGAAAAATGGTTCTGGTTGATATGGGAACATCCAGTGTGCCTTGAAAATGCTGCAGAATGGAAGTGGCTTGAGGGTGTGCCACTGCTCGTCGGCAGATGCGTTGATCCACACATGTTGATATCACTCTGGTTGCACTGGCACACCTCAAACTTGCTACATTTCCACGTTCCAACCATCATTGCCCCAGCCAGTGCACTGTGGACACATCCAGGTATGTGTCAGCTGAGATTTGCTGTATCGACCAACCTACCCTTCTCAGTACGATCACCATGTTCCTCGTAAAATGTTTGTCTGCTAGGACTGCCTCTGCTGATGACGGTCTAGCATTCTTCGCTATCACATGCGTCCCCAGAGACTACGATCATTTCCCTAACAGAAATAATGGCAGGAAAGTGTAACATTCTGCAGGTTCCTTGCCTTACATCTTCTTCAACGTGCGTTGGAGAGCTGCACATTTCACACCATTCGCATAACTTGGTGACATGCATATACTCTGAAATTTGCATAATTTTCAGGCCACTCCTTTTTGGAGTTGCATTTTTAATGTCGGGTAGCGCATGCTGCAAAGAGGTAGTGACAATAACACAATAATGTACATGCAAGTGATACTGTCAGGGGTGACTGCGATCCCACATTAAAAATCCTGTGGGTTTTGGAAAGTCATGTCGTATTTTGCTAACAGATGTCATTAATGCATTTTTTAGAGTAGAAGCACCATGCACACAAACCTCACTGAAATACTTTATAAGATCACACTTCTAATCCATTCAATAAATAGAAAATTGTTTGATTCTAATGAGTTGGATAGATTTTATAGAGAATTGAAAATGGAGGTTAAAAAACCGTTGGTTTTCACTATATTTTGCTTTTTTATTTCCGCAAAGGCAAGAATGTGAAGCAAGCTTGTGAAAAGTTCTGTAAAGTTTATGGGGACGATGCTCTAATGACATGTCAGTGCCAGTGCTAGTTTGCGAAATTCCATTCTGCCTATTTTGATGTGAATGATATGCCTCAATCAAGAAGACCATTGGAGATGAAATAAAGGCAATGGTTTTAAGTCAACCCCACGGTACACAACATGAGAGATTGCAGAGGCACTACACATTGCTCAATCAAATATTCATGACCATTTAACCCTCTCAGCGTTACGACCGGAAAAATTCCGCATAGAAGGCTGCCTTCTATATTCATTATACATGAAATTTTCTGGTAGTTTTTAATGTATCTGATATCAGTTTGGATGTATATTGGAAGAAAAGGAATTAAGGCACAAAATGACAGAGTCATTTTTAAATTAAAATCAAGAAAATATCACATATTCATGACATTTTGAGAAACTTTGAAATTTCAGAGCTAAACCCATAATGTTTGGAGGGTTAAAGAAGCTCCGATTCGTAAGCAAGCTTGAAGTTTGGGTTCCCCATAAGCTGAAGGAGATCCATTTTGTGAAACATTTGAACATTTACCATTCCACTCTTAAATGTGAAGAAAATGACCCTTTTCTGAAGCATAGGGTCACTGGTGACGAGAAATAGATTGTGTACAATAACATCGCATGCAAACGGTCTTGGAAACGGTAGGATGAACCACCTCCATACATGACCAAAGCGAACACTCACCAGAAAAAGGTCATGCTGTCAGTGTGGTGGGATTTCAAAGGTGTTGTGCATTTCGAGGTCTGACTAAAAAATTAAACAATTAATTCAGCCGTGTACTGTCAGAAATTGAACAACTTGAACAATGCAATCTATCAAAATCGCCCAGAAATCGTGAATCGTAAGGGCGTTGTGTTTCTCCAAGATGACACAAGACCACACACGACTTTGGTTACCCGCCAAAAAAGCTGTTGGAGCTTGTTTGGGGTGTGTTGCCCCACCCACCGTACTCACCTGACCTTGCACCTTCAGATTACCATTTGTTTTGTTCTTTGCAGAATTACTTGAATCATAAAATATTCAATTCCAATGATGCTATAAATCGGCACTTGGCACAGTTTTTCGCTTCTAAAGACAGGTCATTCTACCAGCGTGGAATTATGAACCTTGTTGAACAATGGAAAAGGTCATCGAACAAAATAGTAAATACATTATTGAATGAATTCATATTTTTATAGGAATACCTTTGAAAAATATAGTAAAAATACGACATGACTTTCCGATCAATGGAATAAAAAAAAAAAAAAAAAAAAAACAGAATTTCAAAAATTTTAGAATATCAATTTAATACATAGACATACATGCATATACACAGGATGGTTACATATTGAAAAATACTGAATTTATATATTTCTAAGCTAACAAATAAAATTTCTGCATAATTATTATGATATTTGGATAAAGACAATAACTTTCCACTTAGCCCTTCAGGTACAACAAGTATGTGTATTAACGGGAGCTGGAGATAAGGAACTCATAGCAGGAAGAAAATACTTCATGAAATGTACAGAATTTCGATACGCTGTCCAAATATTCAATAAATTATATGAAAATCTTTACCCAAACACTACTTGTGACAGGGATTTCTGATCCAGAAATTTCTCATTAAACAAAATGTGAAATTTTGTTTAAATTATATGAAAATCTTTACCCAAACACTACTTGTGACAGGGATTTCTGATCCAGAAATTTCTCATTAAACAAAATGTGAAATTTTGTTTAATGAGAATACAGTCAAAAGTCGTTAATTCGGAATGATCTATAATCCGGACCTCAAAACTAAAAACTTTCTGCGCATAGGCGTTTACGCGTGCGCATATGAGTGTGCGCAAGTGCAGAATACGTTTTCGCGTGCGCGTTTTATGTATAATGGACGTATAAGCTAAAATTATCTAATTATCTATTTCAGTTAATGTTGATGATTGCGTTGTTCCTTAATTTTCGAATTGGATCCGGCTTATTATTTTTTGCAGACTGTAAGAGCAATTTTATAAAAGTAAGCTTAAACTTTCGATTATATCAAATAGAATTTCCGATATATATTTGTTAATATGTAAAGGATCTAAAGCGAAAGTAGTATGTTTTGAAATCCGAAATCTGTTTATCAATTTCACGCTGCTCGGCGGGGGATCGCCGTGGCGGGAATGAATTGGAAGTTGATCTGTCAGCACTATCCTTATCTTCAGCGCAGATGTTTTTATTTTATTTGTCTTATAATTCCTTACCAAATGTAGTATTTCATCTCGATATGCTCCGTCTTTGATATAATTTAAAACAAGTTCCTCGTCATTATAATTTGCTTTCGATAGCGAAGAAAGTAACGTTATTGAAAACGAAAAAATTTCGAAGTCGGTGTTCTCGACACAGCAATTATAGGACTTGAACAGCGGAACTTTGTAACTGAACAAGAAATTATGTCTGTTTAATAGAATTAAAGAGAAAGTATTATCACATGAAACGAAGCAAAACTTAAACAACTTACATTGAAAGAAATGTTTAATAAAGTAAACAAATAAATATTAAGCTTTTTCTTTTTGCAAATTTTGATACCCTTTAGATCATAATTGTTCTTTATTTCATAAATTACGGTTTCATATTTTTAATTTTAGAATTTCTGCATGCCATCTTACGAGATTTAAACTGATGATCTATAATCCGGAAAAATCTATAATCCGGAATCGCCGAAGTCCCGACGAGTCCGGATTAACGACTTTTGACTGTACATAATATTTCATAGTCTTCATGGCATCTAGACAATCAATATTCAAGAATGTTCTATATTCTGTCATAATGTGATCCATATGATTAAATTCATTTTCACCAGTGGCTACATGCAAAGACTATAAAACAGATTTAATAAATTTTGTCAGTACCAGGTATGTCTCTTCTCCATCTTCTTTTAGCCTGAATACTTCAGCCCAAGTTTATAATATCAGTTTTTTTTTTTTTTTTTTCCTGTTTTTGTAGAAGACAAGTGACTATCTGTTTGATGATTCCTTAGTCTTGCAGAAATATTTTCATCTTCTGAAGTAATATTTAATAAATTAGCTCTTAATTCCATTATGCAATCCAATTAATCTGATGAAGAAAGTACTCTTTTTTTTTTTTTTTTTCTTTTCATAATCAGCATATTTTATTCATTCCTCTTTCAGAATATATTTTGAATATTTTTCCTAATGGACTAACCTTTCTAGAATTCCAAAAATAATTTTTGCAGCATCTGCAAATTAAAATTAATCACAAACGCTAATCTTCAAAATGACTCTTCATGAAGATATGTGTCCATAGGATCACATGGTGCATACAATAATGAATATGGTGATATAAATTTCTTTTACCAAGAAATTTCAAATTTGAAAAATCAAAATACATAAATAAATAAAAATAATAAAATACAGTACAGTAAATCTACAATTCCAGCTGTATCTGGACCACAATCACTTCTGGACTGTTAAATGGTAGAAAATATGCCTGGATTTGCGGGGGAGGAGGAATGGAACTAATAGAAAAAATTTTTTAAATAATTAAGATTTTCAATTTACAGCTGCTTGAATTACTAATTTACCAGGAAGATGGCTATAAACAGCACATAATATATGAAGGCATACCACATACAATATACATTTATAGTTTATATTGAATTATCAAATACCTGACATTGTTTCCAACTATTTCCAAAACTAAAGACTGTATATCATTGTCAGTAATTCTTTTAATATGGCCATTTCGAACCTAAAAATAAAACACAAAAAATAAGAAAATGTAAGTATAAATATGAAGAAAGAGAAAAATTTCACTTTTAATTTCTCTAAACTACACAGCAAAGCAAAGATACCACTGCATAATGCATTGAACATTTGATAAAACTTTCAATAAAATATGGTTTACTATTTACATAACATTAAATTTTTATTTTCCAAAATGTCTAAAGGAGCAAGCTTACAACAATAAAAAATTAGTAAAATGGCTCTAAAACACCATTCAACTTCAGTAACATCAAACTCTTACTACTATACCATGCAAACACCACTTTTAACTACTGTGACAGCCAAAGGATACTTCTGAAAACATGTAATTTTCTTTTTTTGGGGGGGGGACTAAGTGATGGTGGGGTACCTTATTTTTATAAAAATGAGACAAAATATTTTTGGTTAACTTACTGGAACCACGTTTAAATATAAGTAAAGGAGCTTTCACGGACAATCCATCTACTTTATCAGCTAGAGATGATGGAATGGATGGTTTTATCTAATTTGTCATATTTTAGTTTTTTGGTATCCATTGGGCTGTTGTGCTCAGAACTGACAAACAGATGTATGGAAGCCAGAAGGGAAGGTCTAGCAACATGGTTTGGCTGACGATGCAGATGGGCCATTTGTGAAAACTCCTCTAGATTTATTTGTGTTTAAGTGCAGTTACAGTTTGTCAAAATAAAATATTTTTTCTCATTGTTAACTTGGAAAAACAATAAAGGATGATGAACTCGATCAAACTGTCGGCAGTTTAGGATAATATGAGAGATAGTTCTCCTACATCTAAGGCATTTATATCTTTTGAATTTTATTTTAGTTTACTTAGAGCATCTTTAGAACTGCTATTCAGATATTCCTTACCTTTTGGCAAGTTTTTAATGTCGCAGATAACACTAAACACATAAAAACAATGATTTAACTGTTCAAATCTTTCTATTAATGGCATAAAAGTGCATATTTGATTGTTATTGGCAATTCTTATTTATTGGAAAGGTACGTTTTACAGTTCTATATCTGGTATCATTAGATTGATCAATATCCCCTAAAGATGTGATAAATTCCTTAACATTAGCTTTGCCAAATACATTTTCACGGAATCCTTCAATAATGCATAGCGCTGCATTCATAAACTTTAATATAATTCCAAATCGTATGCCCTTCTGCTGAATTGTTTTGTTGACTTTATAGACATGAACAAAAAAACAAAAAAAAAAGGGTTAGAGTAGATTGAAGGGTGCCCCTTGCATTATCACGAAGTTTTTTTGTTTATCATCAAGTTGTTGCTTCATTTATCGCCAAGTTGTTGTTTCATTTATGGTAACCCGAGTAGTTGAATGTTATGGAAATCCTATTATAACGTAATCAGTTGCGTGGTTGCGGTAAATTTTGAATCATGGGAAAGATTTGTAAGGGCTTGTGGTGTGTGTTGGTTAGGAAATACATTGCTTGTTTTGTGGTTTAGATGATAGAATGGATGAACGTGGTAAGATTAATTTGAAGTTTCTGTACAATTTAGAATGAAAAGGCAAAACAGCATTAATTGACTGGTGTGTAAATGAAGGTTTACTTAGTAGCCATTATAAGTGTCCTGTTTGTTGGAAGGAAATGCATATGGTTGAATGTCGGAGGATACCGACACTACAGAGGATATTTTTTATTCTTATTTTTGTGAATTTATGTGGCGACGCCGCTATACGGATTCTAGTTCAGATAATTTTAAGAAGTTTTTGGATGCTGTTAAGGAATTTTGGGTGCACAGACTGAGGATGTAGAAATTTCTAAATAAGTTAAGTGGATATTTGCTTTGTGTAGTGCTTAGATGCATAATATGAATTTCCTTTTTTATGTTATTTTATTGTTTGATTTAAAATATAGTTTATTGAGATTATGCTCTTTTTGTTTGTCTACTGTGGAATTGGATGCTCCTTTGACTTTTTAAGTGAAAATAGATAGATGTGTACATAGACAAAGGGAGTGCACAATGCCAAGTTTGTGCAATTCTCTGATGTTTTTTTAAGTGAAAATAGGTCGATGTGCACATGGATAGAGTTTGTGCCATTCTTTGACCTTGTCATTTTGTCTTTGTGTATCGGCCCATAAAGCCAAAATAACAAATCAAAGAATTGCACAAACTCGGTATCCAAGTACTGCCAAAAATCGCTAACTTTCGCCAAGGGGCACCCGTAAATATATTTTTACCCCCCAAAAAATTATTCTAGATACAAGTTTCATTATGACAGGCAAAGTATGTGTTTATCTTCTTAGAACAAGCAACCAAACAAGTACAAAAATCAAGGGCTCTCAAACTAAAAAATAAGGTTGATCTTTGGATTATGGTAACTTGGCGATTTTTTGGCGAAAATTTGGCAACCAACTCTGCTACAGCAACCCCCTATTTTTTTTTCGCCGCCATTGTCTTCACAAAGTAAAGACATGTTTCTTTTCTTTTTATTTACTCAACACTTTTTCCAACAATCTACTAGACAAATTACACTTATGCTCGAAATTTTATGGAACAAAACTGCTTAATCATGACAAATATTAACTGCAAAATTGGGAAAAAGTGCAGAATCGCAAACTCCTTGCCGCGTTTTTCAAAATCGCACATACACAGTAACCATGTACACGTCGACTTATTTTTACTTAAAAAAACATCCCAGAATTGCACAAAAATGGCATTACGCACACTCTTCATTATATCCATGTACACTGCTTTTTTCTCATAAATTAGAAAAATTTCACGAAAATGCATGAAAATTTTGTGAATCTTTAAATTCGGTAAAAAGGACATATATGAAATTACCTGATCGCGAAAAAGTATATACCCCTTCCAAGGATGGACATTTGCACATATAAAGTAAATAAAATATCCAAAAACTTTTACCTCTAAATTATCTATTATAAACGACACCAACGAATTTATAACAAAACATTAAAAATGATTACAAATACTTAGTGTCAAATACTTAAATTCTTTCCATGCACATTTACTTCTACTCAAACGTATTCCAAAATACTTCAAACATCGAACTTTCAAAATCACGATCATTAAATTAAAATATAATTAAATTAAAAATACTACTTAAAATATAAATAAGCACATACATTAAATTAATAAAAATTAGCTTACAATCCTAATTACTTTAAACTAAATCATTGCTAATAACAATTTTCCAATAATACCATATTAATTTATTTACTCCTTACATTTAGAACAATGCATAAAAATAATATCCTCAAATAATTAAAAATACTAACTTACCTAATTCTCTACAGAATCTTGAGTGCATGGCGGATCACAAAATGTCCATTTTCACTAGGTTTCTTGCACCATACATTCAAACTATCTGTAATATCCTTCCTTTCACACAATCTCATTTCATTCCCACATATTGGACATTCATACTTATTAAGCAATTAAGCAATTCTTTTCAATTACACATAAACGTAATAAAAATTTCAGATTTACTTTATATACGGCCATGGGATACAAATATTAAACAACACTGTTTCACAGAATATAGAATGAAATTACTGCTAGAAAGTACAGCAGATATTTTTACAAATATACCCCCTTTTCCGATTAAAGAACAGTGATTCGTCCATTAATGTCACATGACATATCTCATGATCTCTCATTTCCCTCACACAAAATAATGAGTAATCGGAACTGAGTACTTCTCACATTATTCCCAAAGTCCTAGGTAATAACCTTTATCGCCTCCAAAATGTCGCCAAACTACCTGTTACCATATTTCAAAGATCAGTCCTTTTATGGAACAAAAGTGCTTAATTATGACGAAGATTAGGTGCGAAATTGGGAGAAAGTGCAGAATCGCCCACTGCTTGCCGCGTTTTAAGAATTGCACGTGAACGGTATCCATGTACACGTCAACCTATATCCACTTAAAAAATATCCCAGAATTGCACAAAAATGACATTGCGCGCACTCTTGGTTTCATCCATGTACACATCGACCTATTTTCACTTAAAAAGTCAAAGAAAATTGACAAAAATCCAATTCTTACTCTTGCTAGAAGCGCCAAACAAATAAGTGGACGATTCTGCACTTTAGCAGCGAAATTGTTTCTAAGTGCTTATTAGCTAAAATCCCGATTGGAATTTTCGGGAAAATGTCACATTACATGTCTCATGATCTCTCATTTCTTTGAGACAAAATAATCTGTGATTCGAACTGTGTACTTCTCAGATTATTGTTTAAGTCCTAGCTAGTAACCTTTATCGCCTTACCAAAATGTCGCCAAATTACCTGTTACCATATTCCAAAGATTAGCCAAAAATAATTTTGCAAACGGCTCACAGGAACATCCAAGAGCTCTCTACAGTTCACCAGCATGTCCAAGTATACTTTTTAAATGTTTAGTATATGTGTAGCCCAAAGAAATAATCACTTCTACATTTTACTACAAAACATATTCTTTCTTCTGTCAAAGCCACCACAAGCAATCAAGGTCACAAAACATCTTTTAAAATTATTTTGTGGCAGATGAAGATAATTTTCCTTTCGTTTGAATTGCTAATGGTTGTTCTCTAAATGCACTCACTGATTTTGAAAAGCTACAGTGAGAGACCCAAAAGCTGCATTATTAAATTCAGGAACCCTGAAAAGACTAAACTAGATCTTCCAAAAGCCACAATTATACTTTTTAGTATTAGGAAAAGAGTTTTTTAAAAAAATGAAAGAGAAATTAAATATTACCAATCAGAGTGTTGTTCCAAACAGATTCTAACAAAGGAATTTATTTAATAAATTGTTTCCCACTCGTATATCATTATTTAATTAAAGAAAATTACATTTGCATGCAAAACTGGCACAAAGATATCAGGTATTAAGACATTTTTATTTGAAAAGATCTGCACTTACTATGGTTCTACATTTACTATTATATGTGCCTAAATTGTTTATCAAGCTGGAGAAATATTTATAAATACATAATTTTCTTTACATTTTAAGATTTATTTAAGATTTACATTTTAATCATGTACGAAATTTCCTTATATTTTCTTGATTTGCCATGCTTTATTTATAGGTTTTAATTTTAATGCACGTGGAAACTTTTTTAGATTTACCGTAATTTCCGGAAGAAACGCCGCGGCGTTTACGTGTTTAAAACTTAAATTTTCAGCGGGTGCAGCGTTTCTACCCATGCGGCGTTTAGGTGTATTAAAAATAAAATATTTCCTATGATGGTCATTGTACATAGTTTGGATGGCCTTGTCATTGTGCATAGACTGGTGCTGTTCCCACACAAAAGACCACTCAGTTGCTTTTTGCGAACGTTATTTTGTTTACATTCTTTCCCTTGAATGGACTTACATGCCTTATTCACCCTAAACGAGATCTCAGAACAATAACATTCTTCCCCCTTTCAAATCAACATTCTCATCAGTTTGAATAGTCTCTCTCCTCTGCCATTTGATGAATCTTCCGGGACCCATCCTCTCCCCACCCCTGCCTTTTCTGCAATTTTTTTCAAAGGCGGACATGACTCCACCTGCCTCGCAATAACGAACTCTGATGTATTTCCCCTTCAGCATGAATGGATTTTTCTTGGCATTCTGCTATATACAGATCCCATCAGTTTGGGTACAAGTACTTGTTGGATAGTTTTTAAGTAAAAAGGGAGCGGAAAATTTTGAAAATGTCTCTAAATGGCACAGAAGCTATACATTTCTTACCTTTAATTTATTTTTGAGTTATGGTTTCATTTCATGCATTTTTCTTAACTTGTATGTCATATATCAGGACTTAGGTTGAGTTTTTTCATCTATACGGCCCACGACGATGTCACGCGCAATTTAATCTATTGCGGCGTTTACGCTGATGCGGCGTTTCTGTGTAATTTAAATTTTTTTCCCGCCATTTTTCTCGAGTGCGGCGTTTACGCTGATGCGGCCTTTTTTCCGGAAATTACGGTACATCGTTTTAATTCTATAGCTAAATAGCACATATCTTGATAATGCTGTTTAAATACATAACGGAAAATGTGGAGCTTTTCTTAGGTATGTAATTACAATTTAGAAATGCTTTACTTTATGGACCTCTCTGGTAATTATAAATCTGAAATGTCCAATAAAACAAACATGAATTTTTACATTAGTATAATCAGCATAAAATCTTTTACAATGCAAAATGAATGGAAAAATCAAATAATAATCCATTGGGGTATGTCTATATATGTATACAGGATATTAGCACTAATTAATGTAGAAAGCAAAAAGGGGGCAAAAAAAATATTTTAGGAAAAAAGAGCAAAAATAATTCTTGGTACTTTTCCGTTTTGCCGGCGCAAGCAATAAAGTCGCCAATAATGGTACAACCGATGCCAAACGGAATATTCTCGCTGGTAACCTTTTACGCCTCATTTTGAAACAAGTCGCAGCTTTTTCTTATCAGATTGATTGTTTCTTTCAATACTGGCATATAATTACATAGAATTTTTATCAGATAGTTCAGTTTTATGTCTAAGGCCATTTTCGGTAATTAAGTTAATTAGGATGAAATCACAGCGCTTACCCGAAGCCGAAAATATAGAAAAGTAAAGTCAAGGGTTAAATTCATCAATTCTAATGAGAATGCATTAGCGAAGTAAAGCACTGCAGTTTTACATAATTTCTGAGTAAGCTATTCGTAAGAATTGAAATATTTCTTGCATTTAAACTTGTGTTCCAAATTTACATTTAACTTGAAATTAATGTAGATAATTGCTGAGAGCATTAGATTTTTGTAGAGTAGTTTACGTGAGATGAGATCGCTTGGGGTCACGTGATATGAACAGGCGAATCAGAATGTTGAACCATGAAAGCATACTACATTCTTAAATTGATGTCTTTTTACAAATTTATTGTCTTTATTTATTGGCTTTTTATAAAATTTTAAGCGATATTAAAATGTTTATGCCTTCAAAAAAAAGAGTTCTTAGAACTAACATTTTTTTAATATTTTTTATGTGTATACTGTATGTTGTCGCCAATAAATTCTGCTTGGCGAGATTTGCGCCGGCGAAGCGGAAAAGTACCTAATTCTTTTATAATATATTGGCAAATCTCACATTAAATCAACTGCAGTGTGGAAAGACCCCATTTAAATGGGTTGACCAACAGAAAGAATATTTCCGCTACTAATATAGTTCCATTATATTTAGGGATCTTGTTTTTAAAGGTAAGCAACAAAATATGCACTGTTCACATAAAATACATACGTTATGAAAAAAAAATTTTCAACTTTTTGTGTTTCCAGCATTGTACACCTTTGTGTTTATTTCTACCAATACAAAATACGAAAAACAACTGACAACAGGATCACCTGATAACACAGGACTTTCCCTTTTTCTGCAGAAGAGCGAACTTTCAAGTGACATCCTAACCCTGTGGCACATAATTAACACCACTTATGGATGATCCTTAGTGTTTTGGCAGAATGCCAAAGTTGCATTTGAAGAGAAACAAAGTATATGAATCATACTGGATGGAGAAGAAGACATTATACTGCTCTCACCTCCACACAATTAATGAAGGGTTTTGTTGGTACTACACTCTGAAATTTAATATCTGACCACTATTTTGATGTACACAGACACTTTTGTTACAAAAAAAATGTTTCAAATACAAAATGAAATTCATTATTTAATTTGAAACATTTTATTAACTAATTATGATGAGAATCAATACTTTATTAGCTTTGTTATAAAAATAATGTATTTTTCTATCACTGGAACAGCCCAACAATAGAATATAACCAACCACTAACGAGGGCAATTAAAACTTAATGTAAATAAGGAGTAATGCTCACGAAATTTTTTAGCGGCAAGATTAATGGGAAATTAAATTAAATTTCATTACAAACTACTTTGAAAATTATACTAATTGCATAATTTAACTGCTGAAATTAGCTATATTGAATTGAATAGATATTTCTAATAAACTTCATGTACAATATACACTCCTTCAGCATATCATACCTAAACTTAGTCCTAAAATTATACTGAGAAAATGATATATAATTTCACAATTTTCAGTTTCGTGGTTCTTGTTAACCACTGTTACGTTTAACACATTTAGTAGAGTTAATCATAGTTTTGTATAAATTATAGGAAAATTATGCATATATGGATAGAACCTTGTGTAAGAAAATTAATTATAATATTTATCCTCCTAAAAGATTTTTAACGCATATGTTGCTAATAAAATAATAAGATGATGGATTATACGCTTGCTGTCATTATTTGAGGAAGGGTACATTCCAATTTTAATCAAAAAGAGAGTCCAATACAACCTTCATAAGCATCGCGATTAATTTATATATTTATTCAAATTCAAAATTTAAGTCGTACAAGTCAGCAGATATTCAATTACAAATGAATATTACTGCACGTGAATTAAATTCGCAGCCAATACAAAGCTACTGCCACAATGAATGAAGAAATGCGGCAACAGCAATCAAAATATGTACCTTTTTATCCCAAATTTGCAGCGGTTTACTACCTACACTGTACAAAATGGATAAGAAACCACTCTGAAATGTATTTTTAAACATTTTAAAAGTATTATAGCAGTTCAGGATATATGTTTACAAACATCTTTCAAACAACACTAAATAATCATCAATATTGCCACTACAGCAAAAAATATGTATTCTTTGACTACAGTGCTGAAGTGAATAAATGACAAATATGATAACAAGACTTTATGGATTTTATGGTTTATATTACTCTTAAATAATTAAAATAGCTATATTAAAAATTAAAAATTATACTCGTAGATAAAGTGCTGTAATAAATTTTTTTGAAAGTTATATTTTTGTGCTTTAAAAAAAATCATATTTTGTAAATAAACGTATGATGAATTTTTCTCACTTCAAATAAAGCAATTTAAAAAGAATACCAAAAAATTATAATTTAAGTAAAACTACATTACGTAAAACCGAGGTTCCGAAGTTCTCCTCTCCTAGAACTCGATTCAAAATGTCATAAAATTAGGCGATATTCTGAACTTTTACTTTCACTAATATTTACGTTATTCTCGGTATATTTAACTCGAAAAGCGGCGCTAAATTTTATGTAATTTGCAATTCGAGTGTGAAAAAATTTAACTGTGTTGTATCTAATAGTTTAATTTAAAATACCTTTTCTGTAGTATATTTGATTTTTCGCAGAAATTTTAAACACTGAATTCTTTTAATTCTGTAATTTAAGTTCATAATGACTTTTTCATATTTTGCCTTTGGGAGTAATATGCTTATGAAACGTATGCATATCAATTGTCCTTCAGCACAGTATAAATGCATTGCTAAATTAAAGGTAAGATGAGAAGTAAAGTAGAATCTAGAATAATTTTTGGGGGTATGTTAGAAAATTATTTGAAATTACATTGTAATTTTAAATAGGTGATCAATGTTTCATCGGCAGATTTTACTATCGTAGTAGTATAGGTTTTATAAATGGTTTAAGATTTCTAACTGAATCTTAATATTTAGTCAAGTATTTATGTACAAAGGTATGTTTGATTTAGGCCAATATATCAAATTAGTGTATGCAAAAGAGTTTAGCTTTTTTCGTATCATTTGTTGATTGATCGAATGAATCAGTTATGTTTTTTTTTTTTTTTTTTTTTTTTTTTTTTTTTTTTTTTTTTTTTTTTTTTTTTTTCCCAATCTTTATGTTTATCCACACCCTCTCGGTAAGTGTTCACAAGTTAAAACATAAAATAGCTATGTGGTAAACCATTACATCTCCAAAATGTTCTTATATGGCAACCCAGCTGTGCATGCATAGCCCTGTAAATTCTTCAGCCATTTTTCTGATTAGTGTTTGCTTTTGGTTTGAGTACATTTCTTTCATGTGATGAATCGTATTGGCTCTGTGGAGTTTGCTGGCTGATGAAAGAGAAAGTTTACACTTACAAAATATAGCATTTTGCCTAATAGTAGGGACTGCAAAAATTTCCATTCCATTCTATAAAGTTGTACATCTTAAACAATCAAATTTTATGGAAATGAAATGTAAAAAAATGCAGTTAATCTTTGGATTATGGTAACATAGTGATTTTTTTGGTGAAAATTTGGCAACCAACCCTGCTACAGCAACCTGCTAGTTTTTTTTTTTTTTTTTTTTTTTTTTGGACGCCATTTTGTTTTCACGAAGTAAAGCCATGTTTTTTTTTTTTTTTTTTTACTCAACATTTTTTTGCAACAATCTGCTAGCCGAATTACGCTTACGCTAGAACTTTTATGGAACAAAAGTGCTTAATCATGACGAAGATTAGGTGCGAAATTGGGAGAAAGTGCAGAATCGCCCACTGCTTGGCACGATTTTAAGAATTGCACATACAACACTGTATCCATGTACACGTCAACCTATTTTCACTTAAAAAAACATCCCAGAAATGCACAAAAATGGCATTGTGCACACTCTTGACTTTATCCATGTACACTGCTAAGGTCCTAGCTAGTAACCTTTATTGCCTTACCAAAATGTCACCAAACTACCTGTTACCATATTCCAAAGATTAGCCAAAAAGGCAAGCAAAGTGTTGGTATTTGGGATGCTTAAATTGGGCAGTTCTGTGATGTATTTTTAAGCAAAAACAGATCACTGTGTTGATGGGAAAAATGACAATGTGCACAATGCCAAGTTTATGCACGATTGGGGGCATTCCTAGCAGGGGTGCAGAACGTAAGCCCTTTAAATTCTTCAGCCATTTTTCTGATTAGTATTTGTTTGTGAGTACATTTATTTTGTGTGATGAATTGTGTTGGGTCTGTGGAGTTTCTATTTTATTATGCTTTTTTAATTTTATTGATTAATTGTTATTGTATGGAATTCTTAGTGCACTGCCATTTTGAAAATGGCTTTTACATTTCTCTAATTAGTTTAGTGAAAAATTAGTCAAAAGTCAAAATTAGTCAGACAAGTTGTTGACTACTCAGGATGGGGATAGTCAGAAAATGCCATCTTATTGCAAATATGCATTAAAAATTACATTATTTGTGCTTCAGTGATTTCTTTTCTTTCTGTAATGAAACTTATAATTTATTATAAAATACATAAAAAATTAAAATTGAAAAATTCTGATATCTAAACTGCAAGAATAGCTGTTACATCTAAAGGTTGTAACGATGCATTCAAATTAAACAATTTGGCAATTTGCATAGCTATGAACATTCTCTCGAAATCTGCTCAATTGTTATATATTCTGTATTTTTTTAATGTATGCATTTTGATCATTCAGAAATCATACGGAAAAAAGGAAGACAAAAAGGAGCAAGTACATAGTAAAATAAAAATTGCCATTTTGTCAGACTTATTTGTCAAATTTAAAGCATTTATGGGTATTGGTACATTTGCTGTATAGCCATATCATTTAAAAATTGTAATAAGATTTAACACCTGAAATTATTAAAAAGTGGTAACCTTACAATTTAAGTGAATTTTAACATTTGAATGAAGCTTTCAGTGTTATTGTTTTTATTTCATGCAAATTATGTTGAAGCTCCAAAATCACCCGTAAACCCTGAAAGTCATGACTTTAAAAATCGTACTTTTGCTCTCAAGATCTGTGATTTTATTTTTTGAACAAGAAACGTTTTTAAGGCCTTGGCTTGCACTCTTATTTGCAGGTCCCTTGGGTGCATTTTGTGAAACCTATTATGTGCTTAAGAGTATTGCTACTAAGGTAACCGTAAAGAAAGGCGAAAGGAATGTTGGACATAAGTAACTCCCGGCTACTCGACTTAGAGCTATGTCATTAGGTTAGAAACAAGTACTTCATATGTGAAAAGGATCACTTATGCGCATAATGTCAAAATTTTCTACAGTTCAGAAAATAAACAAACAATAAATAAATGATACAAATGGGATTACTTACCCTTTCTCTTTTTTATTATCTAAAATTGTTGTGCATGACAGATAGCAAAGTTCGCCTTTCATATTACGAAATAACTTAATTTCGGTATTCTTGATATAGAATCAAAAGACTTCTGCCCCCGGATCATAGTTTTGCAATAAATATAGACATTTTCTATTTACGGAAATCTAGCACCATCTTTTGGGGAATTTGTTTTTTTCTGGCAAGTCGCACATTTTGATCAAATGGCCGGCTTGTGCCTGCTAGGAGGATAGGGTTGTGCCCTTATGATGATGATGTGCATAGCGTGAGCTGTGAATTTTACACTGGTTATCATAAATTAAGGAAAAATCACAAAAATTATGATTACTGAAAAAGTTACATATAGAATTTTATGAAACTTACCCACAATATACAGCATATAGTAATGTATCAAATAACATAAAAAGAAACTACCAGACAATTATGGTAGTATAGAAATTAGCACATGTATAAAATGAATAAATCGAAGGTGTTAGTTTGCTATAGGAAAAGTATCTTCAATATGGAATATGGTCACTTTTAGAAGCAATACAGCACATACAGCGATGAGTGATGCTTTCAATTATGCAATCTTTCAGTTCCATTGGAAGTGAGAGCCATTGCTCATGCAAAGCAGTTGCAAGCACGGCAATGGTCTGAGAGGGCGGATTGAGAGCAGCTAGACGTCTCTCTAAAGCATCCCAAACGTGCTCGATAGGATTCCAGTCCGGGGATCAAGCTGGCCACTCCATGCGCATAATTGTTTCCGTTGAAGATAATCATTTACGATATGAGCCCTATGTGGTCTTGCGTTGTCGTCCTGTAACAGGAAAGCATCGCCTATTATCCCGGCATATGGGCGCACATAAACATCAAGGATGTCATCTCTATAAATCTGAGCATTCACGGTTCCCCTTACAAAGACATGGAGGTCTGTGCGTTCACCCAAAGAGATGCCACCCCAAACACAGACACTGCCCCTTCCGTATGCATTTCTTTCACTGATGTTTGACGGATGATAATGGGTTCTAGGTCCTCTCCATATCAAATAACGCCTACTATTGCTTTCTAGACTAAACATGGACTCATCCGTAAAGAGAACCGCCCTCCATTAATCAGGCATCCAGTGGACATGTTGTCATGCCCACTGAAAACGGTCTCTCCTATGGCGTGACTTGAGAGGCACGCAAATGGTTGTTCGCCTCGCATGCAGACCAGTGTAATGTTCCCCTTCTCTAAAAGAACACTTGGTCACCCACCCTAAAAGAGAAAGAGAAAAGAGCGGACGCTTGTTTGTGCGCTCTACTGAAGTGAAAATGTATTTTAAAATATTTCTAAATTGTAATCTGTACATAGTTGTATATAAAGATAAATATTCAGCCTAGAACAGGTCTTGTTTATTGATGGCGATACGACTATGGTACACCACCTTCGTTAAGCCTTTTACACAGAGTTGATGTTGATACCAACTTTCTGGTGGCTACAGCAAGGGAGGATCTAAGAGTCGGAGTAGCGGTTCTATTCCTGCGTGCACATAATGTCAAATATCGGTCATCGGCGCTCGTCATAGCAGTTGGCTGTCCTTGGCTGAACCTCCTAGATGCCGAATCTGTGGTTTGAAATTGCCTCCAAAGTCTATGAACCACAGAAGGACTCACATTTAGCCATCTGGCCACTTCTGTTTGACTTTGTCCTGCCTCTAGTCTCCAAATGGCTCTCCATCGCAGTTCTGCAGGCAAATGATGCCTGGAGGTCATTGTTACAAATTGGCTATCTCAGATTTCTGATGTCACTATCACAGTGAAATATGTGGGCTTGCTCTCAAACATGGACTTTTATGCTCCTCGCAGATTAATGTATTCCGAGTGCAGCGCCACTAATTTGCATATTGGAGTTTTACTCAGCTACTCTTACTTGGCAACATATTCAAATTTTACACGGTTTGGCTTATTTTTGAGGGAGTTATCACCATTTTTGTGATTTTTCCTTAATTTATGATAACCAGTGTAGTTGGCCTACGCTGAGCTTTTTTTTTAAAAAAAAGCTTGATGTACTTGACTTGGTAAGCTGATTTTTTGTCCTTATGCTAACACTGTGTATACAGCAGGGCTAATGACTCTAGCAGATTACATGGCTGAACCACTCAAACTTCTCCTTAGAATGGGTTATCTACTAACCTTCTCAAAATGTGCTTAAACTTAAGAATTGCAGTTATACCTTATAAAAGAATGATGCTAATGTGCAGGTATTAACCTACATAACAATGGTGCTAATGAGAACTAGAAAAGCATTACGTGGCAAAGATGGATTGGAATTAGGGTCGTTAACTAGAACAGAAAGATTTTTTTGAATGTGAAATACCTCTAGAAAATCCAGTACATCAATGGAAGATGTTTTTTTAATAATTTTGGCAGCAGAAAAATTGAAAGTGTGATTTTCAGACCAACAATGTTGGGCAACGGAAGATTTCTGTGTTTCCTTTTTTCAAACATATGCCTCATGTTCCTTAATGTGAAATTTTAAGGCTCTCTTAGTTTGGCCAATGTAAATTAAACCACACTGGCAAGGATTCTTGTAAATACCCCAGGAATTCATATCCGGAATGGGGTCCTTGAGTTTGGAACTCGGAATTTCATTAATGGGAGAATAAACGACCCGAAAGTTAAATTTCTGCAAAATACATGCAACTTTATAGCTAATTGATGGAAAGAAGGGAAACAACAATAAAAGCGGTTATGTTGCATATAAGTTGCTGCTTAATAACCCATTTAGTTATGATGCTAATTAATTGGAAAATGTAATACCATCAAATATATTTATACAGTATCAGTTAAAATATTTTTATTCTAAAATTTATTAATTTTAACAAAAGATATTTGGCACTTTATAAATATACTGCAGTTTCATACAATAAAAGTGATAAACCATATTTACATTTTTAATGAGTGTAATGAGAAGCACCAGATTAAAAAGTCAAAGTTTGAATATAATGAGACAAAATATAATACATGCATAATGACAAACATACAATATATTTTACATATGCAGATATACGCATTATACCTTACATGCATATTTATTCACTTTTTACATATGCATGTAAAAAGTCAGTATTCTGTTTTATATAATAAAGCACAAAATGTCTAACACTTCTCCTCTATACATAAAATCGGCAGAAAGCAGAAGTAAGACTTCTGTGACAGTTTTTCTGCTTAGACACTTTGTTTTATGAAGGATGAGAATATTCTCTTCCATACATTAAAATCAGCAGAAATGAGATTTTAGAGAAAAAACATATATTGCAATGTGTTGTTTATTTTTACTATAAATTAGGCACATGGCTTTATAGCAACATTCATCCAAGCAAAATAGTAATCAAATTTAGATTTTAAAAAATTTCACTGATAAAAATAATTTCATTTACTCATTTATCAATTTTTTTCATATATTTGAAGTGAAATGATTGATTTATAAAAATAGCACACTTAGCTGAAAAAATAAGCTATTGCTAACAGTATTTGCTATTGTTAACAATGTTATGCAGTGAATGAAATACATAAATATGTAATATCATATTAGCACAGAATTAGAAATCTATATGCTATAAAAATAATAATCCCAAGTTTATTTATGGCATTCGTGGTTTGGGATATCTTAAAATTTATAAAAAATTCAGATTAAAAGCATTATATACTTGCAATTTTGTTTTAAAATTATGAAGTATTTTAGCATACAATAATAATTTCTTTAATTTTAATTTCTTTACTTTGATAAAACTAAATAGAGTATCAAATCAAACTATATCCTTTTAAAAAAATAACTCAAAATTGACATCTTATTTCAAAGCCACATTTTGAAACGTTTTTAAGACAATAATAGTATTTAGTTGATCATTAAAATAAAAATTTTCTTTCATAATTCACAAAGAAATTTAACAATCTTATTATTAATTTTAGAGAAAATTAAAGATTAATGAATAATAAACATGTTACTTGATACTTTTAACAGTCAATTTAAATGAATATTTTTCTTTTATTCCTAAGCAGATACCTATAAAAATCACTCGATAAAAAGACTGCTTTAAGTATAGAAACAGAAATATATCTAAATATTGTGGAATATAATTTATATTTAGGTACAAATACAATGCAGATCAAAGAACAGCTGCCATTTCAGTTGTTTCTTACTATACCTTCAATAAATACTGGGTAAAGAAATTTGAAAAGCATTTAAATAGTTATTATGACAGTACTTTTAGAACGGCATTTAATAAATGCTGCGAAGTTACTTGAACATGCACCAGTACTTTAAAGAGGAAGATACGCTATTTTATGTCAGATTATTTTTTTCTATTAAAAAAAAAAATATTAAGTCAGTTTCAAATTCCTCATTCTCTTGTGTGAATTCACAAGTGGCTGAGATTTGAACATGAAATTTACACAACTAAAATAATAATTATTTAAACATGTCACATAGTAATAGAAAGAATAAAATATTTACATGTATAAAGGAAAACTGCAGCATACGTTACTCAGTTAGAAAAAGGTGAAAGTCTTTTGCATGTATAGTAATAATATGATTGTAAAATGAAATTTTAAAGGAAGATAAATAAATAAATTAAAAAAAAAAAAAGCATGTTTATGTGTGAGGCTACTTCTAAAATGAATATGTTTACTGAATCATCATCTCAATATGGCTTTTAACAGCAAAATATTAGTTTTAAATGCAGCTCATTAATATTCTAATAAATGCAAAATAAAGATAATTTCAGCATATTACCTGTACCTCATACATAAACATACATATTATCAGATCATCTACCATAAAGATGTACATAGTATATTAAATACAATGTTATTAAGATTATGAAAATCCTCTTCTACTTTAGGGCTGACATAAAACTGCTTTTTTCTCTCTTTTTTTTTTTTTTTCTCTTTTTTTTTTTTTTTTATAAATTTTAAGACTATCAATTTAAAGCATCTACCAAATCAATGTTTTAATCAATAATAATCTAATAAAGCATGTTTAAACATTATAACACTTCATATGATACATATCTTTATAATTCTTACTTCATGTAAGAATAATAATTCCATGATATACTACTAAAACAAGCTTCTGTTATCCCATGTTATATTGAGTTTTATTCACATATGCTCACAGTTTTCTTTTATGAAAAAAAAGTAAGTGTAAATTAGTACATACGCATTAAGATTTTAAACATTATCTTACAGAAAAATTTAAGCAAGCAGAACTTTAAAAAGCTTCGCAATTTCTTACACATGAATTACCTAGTATTGCGATTATAAAATTCTTTCTCTTTAAAAAAAAGACAGCTTTTTATAGTCTTCAAATAAAATCTAAATACCCTCAGTGAAAGAAGCTAAATCATGATTCACAATACTATCCACTTGTTTCATTGTTTGAAGTGGCACGCTGCAGCTGGCAGTCCTCTTTATTTACATCTGCAATGTTACTGTTACTTTCATAAGGAGGTGGTGGAATGCCAATGGAATTTTCTGTATAAGGAGGTGGTTTTGGTCTACTATCAGCAACTTGATATCCAGAGCCAGGGACATAATTCACACGTACCAAATAGTCAGGTAGTTGTGAATCTCTCTCATACTGATCAGAGTTGAAATTTTCTCTTTCATGCAGAAAGTTCCCATTGTTTAACAACAATCCAGCCTAACAAATTAAAATTACATAAAGCAGTCAATTTTGTCTTGAAGAAGCTTGACACAAATAATCAATAATTAGATCGCTAAATGGTCAATTTATGTGAAATATTATTTTATTCCTAATTTATTATTGAAAGCAATTTTTTCTTATAATTAAACATTCTTCAGACCCCAGATTAAAAAAATATATATATATATATATATATATATATATAAAATTTTGTCTACTTTTAGAAAAAGTCAGGACTATCATAATTTCCAGAAGAAACATTGCTGCATTTATGTGTTTAAAACTTGCAGGAGGTGCAGCATTTCTACTGCTTACATGCATCTAAAAAATATTTCATAAGATGTAAATCACTTGGATCACCCAGTTGCTTTCTGTGAACTTTACTGTGTTTATATTTTTTCCCCAAGGTCCTTTGTGCCTTATTCCTCCTAAACAAGATCTCGGAACAAATACATTCTGACCTCACTCAAATCAGTCTTCACATTGGTTTGATTAGCCTATATTCTCTGTTCCTTGATGAATCTTCCAAAACTTATCATCTCTCCTCCCCTTCCCTTTCCACCGCAAATCTACTGCGGTTCTTTCCAAACACGGGTGCAACTCCCACCTGAATTGCAATAATCAACTTGACACATTCTTTCTACCCCCTTTAGCACATATTCATTCTTCTTGGCATTCTGCCAGCTACAGATCTCATCACTTAGGTACAAGTACTTGTTAAATAGTTTTTTAAGTGAAAAGGAAGCAGAAATTTTTTGAAAAATGGCACCTAAATGACATAGAAGCTATATTGCTAATTTTATGTTTAGTGTAATTTTCCATGGTGGACAGACTGGAAATAGAGCAGTATTGAATATGAGTACAAATAGAACAATATTGAAATTGAATATGAATAAAGGGATATTGAAACTGAATATGAATAGAGCAATACTGAGCAAGAATATGAAGTGCTCAAGCGATGCACTTGATATTGGAGAACTGGAAATATGCCACAACATAAATGAGCCAAAAGAAGTGGTACTTCAGCCAAATCTAGAAGATGCAGAAAGTTCCCATTGTTTAACAACAATCCAGCCTAACAAATTAAAATTACATAAAGCAGTCAATTTTGTCTTGAAGAAGCTTGACACAAATAATCAATATAATTAGATCGCTAAATGGTCAATTTATGTGAAATATTATTATTCCTAATTTATTATTGAAAGCAATTTTTCTTATAATTAAACATTCTTTCAGACCCCAGATTAAAAAAAAATATATATATATATATATATATATAAAATTTTGTCTACTTTTAGAAAAAGTCCGGACTATCATAATTTCCAGAAGAAAACATTGCTGCATTTATGTGTTTAAAACTTGCAGGAGGTGCAGCATTTCTACTGCTTACATGCACTAAAAAATATATTCATAAGATGTAAATCACTTGGATCACCCAGTTGCTTTCTGTGAACTTTACTGTGTTTATATTTTTTCCCAAGGTCCTTTGTGCCTTATTCCTCCTAAACAAGATCACGGAACAAATACATTCTGACCTCACTCAAATCAGTCTTCACATTGGTTTGATTAGCCTATATTCTCTGTTTCTTGATGAATCTTCCAAAACTTATCATCTCTCCTCCCCTTCCCTTTCCACCGCAAATCTACTGCGGTTCTTTCCAAACACGGGTGCAACTCCCACCTGAATTGTAATAATGAACTTGACACATTCTTTCTACCCCCTTTAGCACATATTCATTCTTCTTGGCATTCTGCCAGCTACAGATCTCATCAACTTAGGTACAAGTACTTGTTAAATAGTTTTTAAGTGAAAAGGAAGCAGAAATTTTTTGAAAATGGCACCTAAATGACATAGAAGCTATATTGCTAATTTTATGTTTAGTGTAATTTTCCATGGTGGACAGACTGGAAATAGAGCAGTATTGAATATGAGTACAAATAGAACAATATTGAAATTGAATATGAATAAAGGGATATTGAAACTGAATATGAATAGAGCAATACTGAGCAAGAATATGAAGTGCTCAAGCGATGCACTTGATATTGGAGAACTGGAAATATGCCACAACATAAATGAGCCAAAAGAAGTGGTACTTCAGCCAAATCTAGAAGATGCAGAAAGTTCCCATTGTTTAACAACAATCCAGCCTAACAAATTAAAATTACATAAAGCAGTCAATTTTTGTCTTGAAGAAGCTTGACACAAATAATCAATATAATTAGATCGCTAAATGGTCAATTTATGTGAAATATTATTTTATTCCTAATTTATTATTGAAAGCAATTTTTCTTATAATTAAACATTCTTCAGACCCCAGATTAAAAAAAAAAAAAAAATATATATATATATATATATAAATTTTGTCTACTTTTAGAAAAAGTCAGGACTATCATAATTTCCAGAAGAAACATTGCTGCATTTATGTGTTTAAAAACTTGCAGGAGGTGCAGCATTTTCTACTGCTTACATGCATCTAAAAAATATTTCATAAGATGTAAATCACTTGGATCACCCAGTTGCTTGTGTGAACTTTACTGTGTTTATATTTTTTCCCCAAGGTCCTTTGTGCCTTATTCCTCCTAAACAATCTCGGAACAAATACATTCTGACCTCACTCAAATCAGTCTTCACATTGGTTTGATTAGCCTATATTCTCTGTTTCTTGATGAATCTTCCAAAACTTATCATCTCTCCTCCCCTTCCCTTTCCACCGCAAATCTACTGCGGTTCTTTCCAAACACGGGTGCAACTCCCACCTGAATTGTAATAATGAACTTGACACATTCTTTCTACCCCCTTTAGCACATATCATTCTTCTTGGCATTCTGCCAGCTACAGATCTCATCAACTTAGGTACAAGTACTTGTTAAATAGTTTTTAAGTGAAAAGGAAGCAGAAATTTTTTTGAAAAGGCACCTAAATGACATAGAAGCTATATTGCTAATTTTATGTTTAGTGTAATTTTCCATGGTGGACGACTGGAAATAGAGCAGTATTGAATATGAGTACAAATAGAACAATATTGAATTGAATATGAATAAAGGGATATTGAAAACTGAATATGAATAGAGCAATACTGAGCAAGAATATGAAGTGCTCAAGCGATGCACTTGATATTGGAGAACTGGAAATATGCCACAACATAAATGAGCCAAAAGAAGTGGTACTTCAGCCCCAAATCTAGAAGATGCAGAAAGTTCCCATTGTTTAACAACAATCCAGCCTAACAAATTAAAATTACATAAAGCAGTCAATTTGTCTTGAAGAAGCTTGACACAAATAATCAATATAATTAGATCGCTAAATGGTCAATTTATGTGAAATATTATTTTATTCCTAATTTATTATTGAAAGCAATTTTTCTTATAATTAAACATTCTTCAGACCCCAGATTAAAAAAAAAAAATATATATATATATATATATATATATATATATAAAATTTTGTCTACTTTTAGAAAAAGTCAGGACTATCATAATTTCCAGAAGAAACATTGCTGCATTTATGTGTTTAAAACTTGCAGGAGGTGCAGCATTTCTACTGCTTACATGCATCTAAAAAATATTTCATAAGATGTAAATCACTTGGATCACCCAGTTGCTTTGTGTGAACTTTACTGTGTTTATATTTTTTCCCCAAGGTCCTTTGTGCCTTATTCCTCCTAAACAAGATCTCGGAACAAATACATTCTGACCTCACTCAAATCAGTCTTCACATTGGTTTGATTAGCCTATATTCTCTGTTTCTTGATGAATCTTCCAAAACTTATCATCTCTCCTCCCCTTCCCTTTCCACCGCAAATCTACTGCGGTTCTTTCCAAACACGGGTGCAACTCCCACCTGAATTGTAATAATGAACCTGACACATTCTTTCTACCCCCTTTAGCACATATTCATTCTTCTTGGCATTCTGCCAGCTACAGATCTCATCAACTTAGGTACAAGTACTTGTTAAATAGTTTTTAAGTGAAAAGGAAGCAGAAATTTTTTGAAAATGGCACCTAAATGACATAGAAGCTATATTGCTAATTTTATGTTAGTGTAATTTTCCATGGTGGACAGACTGGAAATAGAGCAGTATTGAATATGAGTACAAATAGAACAATATTGAAATTGAATATGAATAAAGGGATATTGAAACTGAATATGAATAGAGCAATACTGAGCAAGAATATGAAGTGCTCAAGCGATGCACTTGATATTGGAGAACTGGAAATATGCCACAAACATAAATGAGCCAAAAGAAGTGGTACTTCAGCCAAAATCTAGAAGATGCAGAAAGTTCCCATGTTTAACAACAATCCAGCCTAACAAATTAAAATTACATAAAGCAGTCAATTTTGTCTTGAAGAAGCTTGACACAAATAATCAATATAATTAGATCGCTAAATGGTCAATTTATGTGAAATATTATTTTATTCCTAATTTATTATTGAAAGCAATTTTTCTTATAATTAAACATTCTTCAGACCCCAGATTAAAAAAAAAATATATATATATATATATATATATATAAATTTTGTCTACTTTTAGAAAAAGTCAGGACTATCATAATTTCCAGAAGAAACATTGCTGCATTTATGTGTTTAAAACTTGCAGGAGGTGGGCATTTCTACTGCTTACATGCATCTAAAAAATATTTCATAAGATGTAAATCACTTGGATCACCCAGTTGCTTTGTGTGAACTTTACTGTGTTTATATTTTTTCCCCAAGGTCCTTTGTGCCTTATTCCTCCTAAACAAGATCTCGGAACAAATACATTCTGACCTCACTCAAATCAGTCTTCACATTGGTTTGATTAGCCTATATTCTCTGTTTCTTGATGAATCTTCCAAAACTTATCATCTCTCCTCCCCTTCCCTTTCCACCGCAAATCTACTGCGGTTCTTTCCAAACACGGGTGCAACTCCCACCTGAATTGTAATAATGAACTTGACACATTCTTTCTACCCCCTTTAGCACATATTCATTCTTCTTGGCATTCTGCCAGCTACAGATCTCATCAACTTAGGTACAAGTACTTGTTAAATAGTTTTTAAGTGAAAAGGAAGCAGAAATTTTTTGAAAATGGCACCTAAATGACATAGAAGCTATATTGCTAATTTTATGTTTAGTGTAATTTTCCATGGTGGACAGACTGGAAATAGAGCAGTATTGAATATGAGTACAAATAGAACAATATTGAAATTGAATATGAATAAAGGGATATTGAAACTGAATATGAATAGCAATACTGAGCAAGAATATGAAGTGCTCAAGCGATGCACTGATATTGGAGAACTGGAAATATGCCACAACATAAATGAGCCAAAAGAAGTGGTACTTCAGCCAAATCTAGAAGATGCAGAAAGTTCCCATTGTTTAACAACAATCCAGCCTAACAAATTAAAATTACATAAAGCAGTCAATTTTGTCTTGAAGAAGCTTGACACAAATAATCAATATAATTAGATCGCTAAATGGTCAATTTATGTGAAATATTATTTTATTCCTAATTTATTATTGAAAGCAATTTTTCAAATATGACAAAATAGATAAAGAAACAACAAGGAAAGGGAATGACAATTTCGACTGTAAAAATTCACTTATAAGCAAAACTTATGGTACTAAAAATGAGTACAAATAACTTCAAAGGAAGGCCTTGCTGGTGCAGAAGATTTACAACAAAAACAACAAAATTCTGCGCATACCAGAAGAACAATAAGGCAACAATTACCAAGGGACTGGTAGAATTTAATAATAATAACAATAATAATAATAAAAACTTTTTTCCAGTATATGACAGATAATATCAACAAGCAAAAAAATTTTTTTATCACAGATAATAAATATGGATGAAACAATATTAACATGTTGAATGCCATGCGCATTTTACGTGGTTTGCCCATGGCGCCAACATGAATTCAATTTTTTATTATTCGATGCATTCTATGTTGAAATATTATCTACAGAAGGTAAGGTGAGTTATGTAATTGTGTTTAATGCATTTTTCCTGGTGAGAGTCACCGCTCACCCCCCGAGGGGTTGCAGACCATTTTTGCGATTTATTATTTAAATTTTTGCTATCTATTACTCTTCAAAACATTATAGTAACAATGGTTATTATTTCAAAATTTATCTGTATCGATATTTGCTCTTAATTATATAATTTTACTGTTGGTCACTTTGCCGGTCACCGGTGGTCCTGACGGCGCTGTAGCCGAGTGCCAGCCACCGGCGACTTCCACAGTAGTAAACGCGTTAATATTTGATTCTTCTGCAAACAGAACTGATGATGAAATTTGTGCAAAACTGTATCCATGCTTATGATGGAGAATTAACTTCATGTGTGAAGTTATTTGTGTCACAAATGGTGACAAGCTAAAACTATTCTAAATTTTTAAATGGAAAACTATTCTATAAAAGGAGATTTTCCTAAAAACAATTATTTGCAGAAGTGAGAACAAATGAATGTGCAAAACAAGCATGAATGGCAATAAAAAGTTCAGTAGTGTCACACAGGATCTTTTTCCCAACCAAAATGATTGTTGATAATGGATTCCATGTATTCTCATTTATTTGATTCAGTGAAAAACATATATAAAAAATTGCCTACAACCATTAGATTTGTCAGTTAATAAATTCTTCAAAGCTGAAGTTTGAAAGCAGTGGGAATATTGGATGAGTGACGGATTACACACTTATACCAAAAGCAGCAAAACTCATTGAGCATCTTATGAAGATGTTGTAAAATGGGTAGGAAGTGCATGAATTTGTTGAAAATATCGTTAATAACATCAGGATTCAAAGAAGTTGATATCATATGTCCATATAAAGGGACTGTAAAGCAAAAGGATGGATATGGTGACAATTTATTTTTGAGTTATGGTTTTATTTCATGTATATTTCTTAACCAATATGCCACATATTACATTAGAATATGCCGCATTTTACTTTCTTAAATATAACTGATAAATATTCTATTAATTTTAAGTTTAATAATTTAAAATGCTTTTTTTTTTAAAGTTAAGTTAGAGCATTTTGTCATTACACTGGTAAAAGGTCATACGTGCTATTTTTGAAAGTTTTTAATACTTTGTAAAATAACACAGTGGTTTTAGCAATCTTTAATGTAACATAAAATAGCTGCAAAATAATCTTACCCCATGTCTTGAAGTGATAGCTGCACGGAATTCATTTTCAGAAACCCTAGACCACCTATGAAGCTGCTCGGTACGTTCTGAACAAATACGATATGCCAGAAATAAAGCTGCAGTTGAAATCACAATCACAACAGCAGCACAGATTGCTACAACATGCAATATGGAACAGCCTATTCCAAAATTAGGGACTATATGACAATCAACTGATGGAGGGCATGGCAATGCTACTGAATCTGTTAATTAAAAAAGGAGAAAAAGTTAAATCAGGTGAAGAAATAGAATACTTTTGTATTAAGAAATTACAGAATATTTCAAGGAAAAATTATTGAACAGCACTGAAAAAGAAATTCTACTTCATTTTTTTTTTTAAATTAAAAATTTTAGATGAATCAACAGCTATTAATATGACATTATATTGGGTTGATACAATTTCTGACTACTAAACTGTTTCAGCACCAGGTACTAGATATAACAAAGGATTAAAATTCCAAAATTTATTTTGAACTTAACTTTTATGTTTTATAAATTGTTAAAATGTTGATTATATAATGAATATTTTAACATTTTTTTTCTTACTATAAGCACATGAAGTTTACTGGCATTATTTATATATATATATTTAATTTACAGAATGTCTGTAATACGAATTTTGATAATCAGAACTAACATGATTATGCTAGGTTAGGTTATATGAACATGGACAAAATGCCTAAGGAGAGGGACACCATCGTGGAAGACTTTCTGAAAGAAACTGGCTTGTATTTCAGTTATCAATGGCAGAAAACCATGAAAAACACCTTTGTAGTTAGCCTGTTTACCTGGGCTGAACCCATGTTGAATTACAATATTCAGCAATCAGAACTAAACACGAATATTTAGCTTAAATTTAAGACAAAATAAGAAACCCATCAAAATATGCTAGCACTTGTAAGCTCCTCATCTCAAAAAGTTAAAACTGATATTTTAATTTGGATAACTGAAGGCTGGTTGTAATATCTGAGGATTTCTATCTCTAGTTATTACACAAGGAAGGAATGCATCTCCTGGAAATTCAATGAGTATGTACACCAAGGAATTTTCAGACAAGTAGGTAAATTCCCAGGAACACAATTGACAGATTTGGGATTTCCAGCACCTTTCCGAACAGCCCATTTATAATCACAAGCCATGTTCAATCATCTTTTATTTCAAAGGATTAATAAATAATTTTAATGACTCGATAAGAGTAATTAACATATTCTTTTCAATAAAACCTTTCAATCACTAACAGTAATATGATTAAATTTACTTGTAACAATACAAACTTTTTCATTCTCTAATTTTACATAACAATAAATGAGATTTCAATTTCAAGTACTGATTTAATATTAGATTCCCCCCCCCCCCCGATTCATACTGAAAGTGATTTCACTATATGCATGAATAATTATTTTCATATCAGCTATTCTGTGCTTACATTGCTTGGCAAATTTACATGAAATCGAAACTTGTCTTTCACTAAATTACGTACTTTCCTAATGATCCAACAATTATGTACTTTACCTTATGATGTCCAGAATATAAAACATCAGAATTAACATATTAAAGATTTTGAATATCTCATCACTTCTTGAAAGGATAATCACACTTTTATAAGAATTAAACAGATAATTTAACTTGACTTTCTTTTTGTTCTGTAATATAGGTATTAAGTTATAACAGAAAAACAGATACATAAAATAATAATTAAAGCATATCAGAAATAAGAATAAGTAACTAAAAATGAAAACAATGCAAAAGATTCCAAAGTTTACGTTGTACTATAAAAACTAGATTTTAAGCTTACCAGTGTATTCCTCAAAATGATAGAGACCTGTCAGAGTAATTAAAGGGAGAAAAATGCTTAAATATGATACCTTGACAAATAAACCATTTTTGCAAAAGAAAATACTATCTTAATATATTTTTGAAACAACTGTTTTGATATACATATATATATATGGAACTTTTAATCATCATCCCAGAAATTTTAAAAAATACGATGCAGATATTATGTGATAAAAATACTTGATTATCAGTTCATAGGTACATATATATACACACTATTATTCATTAATATAATAGTGTGTATATATATGTACCTATGAACAGCCCTTCAGCTGGAAGTGATCAGATCTATAAAATGATGTATAAAGAAATGGATCACACCCAATTCTATACTTTTTGCACATAAATACAATCAATTACAATTATACATATGGGGATTTGTATTTGGATGTAGTTATCAACATGAAAGAATGTTTTCAAAAATGAAGTGTGCAGAGTCGTAGTACAGTTCACTATTAAGAGATGACTATTTGCAAACAACATTAATAGGAAGTACTAACTTCAAACTCATGTATGACGAAATATTATCTCAGGGGAAAAAAGCAGTTACAACACTGTATTTGTACAAAATTTAACTTGCTCTAGAATATGTTTATTAAGAAAGGGAAATATTTCCTTGTTCTCAAGTGTCAGAAAAATGTATATAAATATTACATAAGACTATCATTTCGTATAAAAACTTTTCTGAACCTTTTCCCGGCCTTTTTCCCTGGCTGAGTCTAATGTTTTAGACCTGACCATTTCCAAAAAAAGTTTGCCCAACCCTTATTCTAACAGCATATTTTGTGCAGATGAAAAGTGAAGCAGAATTTGGCCTATAAATAGAATTACAAAAATTTTCATCAAGGAATCAAAAAAGAAAGAAAGTAAAAAAATAAAGTTTTCCATTAATGTCAATCTAAAAAACAAATAGGATGATGTTAGGTTGTTATTGCTTGAAAATCAATGTTTTGATTATGAAATAACATTATTTCCCAAAATGTAAATTTACATGAAAATTTTTTACGGCACTTTAAAACAAAATCATAGCTTTTTGTTTATAAGAAATCACTGCCTTTCAAAAGATATGTATAACAAAATAAATGCCTTTTTATACATTTTAAACAAGCAGCATAAATAATATAACCTTCGTCAAGCACCTCACGACAACAGGGCATCAAATAGCTTATGGAACAATTACTGCTCACAGTGGGATCACAACAAAATTCCTGAGGGATGCAACGTCCATCACATAAAATCTTTCCATGACAAGGATTTGGTCCTGTAAAATAATAGCACATTCTAATTCATACAAGCATGCAAATTGATGGACAAAGTATCATAGTATGTGATATTCTCAATTTAAATATAAAAATATAAATTTTCACTAATACACTGCTTAACAAAATTACAGCAGCAAGTGATTTAATAAAAATCGACAAGTGCTGAAAAATACACAGCACAGTATAAAAAAAATATTTTTGAATGGGAAAAGAAAACAAAGTATCCAAAAGGTGTAAAATCATATCTTAATGTAAAGAAAAGTAAATTTAACAGGAAACACACATGTTGCCATAAAAAATTTACTTCTACCTGTAACTCTTGGAGGAGGGGAGAAAAAAGTCATGAAATTTATCAACAGTCTAGAAAGGTACGTGACCACTTCAAATGTGCAACAAAGCTAACATTGGATTAATGAGGTTCTGAGTGATTTTCCCTCACTCTTCAAGATGGCCATTTTGGAAACTGAAGGCTAATCAATGGAGACCGTGTCTAGCAGCAACATGTCTTCCCACAGTGTCTCAAGCATATTCTAAGGAATTCAAATCTGAGAAGCATGCCAAACATTACATATGCTCCACTGTTTCTCCTTCAAACATCCATTTTACAAGGTGTGTTGGATTAAGTCTACGATTACTATGCATAATAAAAAGAGCTGAATCACCCTACAACCACAATATTAGACATGCTCCAAGGATATAAGAATTTCATCCCTATATATTTTAGCAGTCAGGGATCCATTTGCAATGATCTGCAAATCAATATACTCACCTAAACTTATCCTTGCCCAAATAAGCATTCTGTCTCCAGCAAAACTTGATCTTCCTTTGACCTGTGCTACACTGTATTGGTTGTCGAACATAGACTTGTCAAAGAAGGCAGCTTGGTTGCACTTAGCAGGTTCTCAGTTACAGTATTTTTCAGTACATTTTCCTGAAGACTCATGGTATTGGGAAACCATTGGGACACAAACAATAGGCCTACCATATACATGCATCTGTGAATTGTTTATGCTCATGCCCTTTTCCAATTGCTGTCAAAGTTGTTTCTGCAGCTGGATGGTAGATTGACTCCAGTTCCAAAGGACTGCTATTGACAAATAATAATCATCATTCAGAGGTAGCAACCAGAACTTCTTCAACTCAGTAATTTCAACAAGGACCTCTATAAATACTTTTTGTCTTTTGGAAACAAATCCACAAGCATGCAGTTCCTATGGCTTGTCACATGGTACTTCATAAAAAATTGTGTTAAGTCAGCATACTAAAACAAGACAGACATAAAAAACTGCTTCTTCCTTGAAAAGAGGAATACAGTTCCAAAAGAATATCCCCTTTTTACGATTTTTTTAATAGTGTTAATTTGCATTTTGAATTTATTTTTACAGCTGTCTTTTCATTGCACAGTGGAATTTTTTAACAAAAAATTTCAATCAACAGCTTTAATAAAATTTCATAATTTCACAAGACACTCTTCTAATTTTTTTGACTTTGTGTAGATGGAATAACTTGTGTATGAAACAAATTACTGGAGACAGAAAATAAAATTACACCAAAACGAGCTTTAGTGCATGGTTTACACAAAAAATATTGCCAACTTAAAGCATTTCTAGATATTTCCTGCTTAAAGAGTTTTGCAATTTATATCATTACCATGGCAGGACTAAATCACTAGCGCTATTCATAACACCATATACTTCTATCAGAAAGAGGGTCAATTTGAATGCCTAGCAGGCATCAGACCACATAACACCATATAGTATCTATCCATGAAGTGCTGTAAAGTAAATTAGCAGATCCGTTGAGTAAATTTTATACTAATTACAACAAGTCAGCATAATAATTACTGACAGATACAAAGCATATAATTCCCATGAGTAAGTAGTTAGATATCAACATAAAACTTCTATAACCTATCACTACTTCTTGCCTAACTGAAATGTTGACAAGTGATTTATCTAAACTAACAAATCTCACTTCAGCAGTCAATATTCACTTCACAGACGGTTTAACTATGAATCTTGGTTAGCAAGATAGAAAATGAATACCTGCCCAAATATGTTATATTAACCGTGAAACTGCACAAAGAAAGCATGTCTAGGACTGCTTTTATAACTTAAACTAAAAATTCTAATGGTAATGAACCTTAATACTGTAGGTATACTAATTTGCTTCAACTGCAAAATTCATAGATATTCAATCTTTCCATAATTGTAATCACTCAGTGATCACAATTACGAAGAGTTTTTATATTAAGGCAGTAATAATTTTAAATTTCACTCTTCTCAAAAAGCTCTTTTTTGTCCCATTTAGGAAAATGCATACTATTTTTTATATATCATTATTTAGAGAAGTTATGAAGTTATTAAATTTAAATTGCATCTACAGATTTTTTGGTGGATGAGTTAAATATAGGACATACCCAATTCCTAAATTAAAAATAATTTTAAAGAACTTACCACATAATTTGACGGATTCATCATAACCACTTGAACAATCCACATAGCCATCACAAACATAACGTTTTGAAATGCATATGCCTCCTCCACAATCAAAAAATCGTTTTACACATTTTTCTGTTAATGCAATAAAATTATTTTATACCAGATATAAAATCAAAATCAGAACTTTTTTTTAAAATGAATAATACATAATGCATCTACTAAGTTTTAGGACTTTTTTTAAAAAGAAATTCCATTGAACCTGACAAATGTTAACTGACAGCATTTATTCCTATGACATCTCAACTTGTTTCTTAGAGAAAATTCTATATAGTCTGAGACAGAACATTTGCTATCACAGATTCAAAAACTGAGCAAAGAATAGAAATGTCTTCATGTAAAGCGGGAAAATCAGCAGTGGGGATATTTTTAAATGTGGTGTCAAACATAAGAACTAGCATTAACACCATTCCAATATTTTGCATACATTGTGAAATTGTCTGTACCATCCAATATGATGGTACAGACAATTTCACAATGGATGCAAAAATGATGATTGCCCTTTGCAGTCTCAAACAAATGAGAAAATAAAATTTTTTTATAACTGTTGCTTATCTAACTCTTACAAAGACAGCTGATGGATGATCTTAACATCAGTAAAGCCACTCCTCACAAAATTCTTGTGAGATCTTGGACAATGAAAAATTTGTTCTCATTTTGCCCTTCACACTTTTATCACAGTACATAAAGATCAAATTTGGTATGTCAGAATTTGATCTCAAAGGCAGCTTCAAATATTTTGAGTAAAGACTGTATTGGTTATTTATTTACAAGACTGGAAATGTCACAATCAGTTAATTCACAACAAATTTATTCCTGAAGGAAGATGGCGAACTTCATAATTTAGAAAGGCATAATGGGTAAGCTTAAGTTTTTTTGAAGCTATGTAAGAAAAAAAAAAAAAAAATCATTTTAAAAGCCATTCATCTTTTGAAAGTAACAAACATTTAAATTTCAATGAAATAAACAAAGTACTGGTGTATATTGCAATGAAAGGAACTTGCATGACAAGAAAATGAAAAATTTTGAAAGATTTTACATGGTTCTTAATCTGTAAAACTGATACAGCTGTAACTAATAGTCAGTTAATTAATAATAATACATAAAAAAAGTCTGGATGTCCAATAATCTTAAAAGGACTTGAATACAACCAATACTGAATATTTTTACTATAAGAATGCAGTAGATCTATGTTACATTTTACCGAGGCATTTAGTATTGATAGAGTCTGATAAATATCAACATTGTGAAAAATAAAATTTTTACTTCATCTTCTATAAAGATTGCAGAAAACATACATCTCACCAGCAGGGTTGGCAACTTTGTTCCACAGTGGAAAACAACACGGAAAAATTAGTGGTTTGGTTTGTGTGATTATGGTAAACACTCAAGAGCTATTTGCCTTCGTGAAGGACTTTCTAACGGAAACTGGCTCGTATATATGTTACAGGTGGAGAAACCCACAAAAACTCCCATGCAGCCTGCCCATTCCCGGGATTCGAACCTCAGATCGAACTACCAGTGTTCAGCGACTTTATTGCTCGGCCACTGGTGAGCATGAAAAATTAGGTGGATGAAGGAGGAAAAAAAACTAATTTTTGAACTTATTTCAGATTTATATTTTAGTCCTATGCAGGCCTGGATCGAATAAGTGCGGGGCTCAATTGGATTCTTTTTTTTGCGGGGATCCTCTATATATTAAATATTCAAATAAAATGCAAATTCAATATATATATATATATAAATCAAATGTCATAGATCATAAGATAGGTAAACTTCTACATACATTAAAAAACACAAATGCACAAAATACAAAAACAATTACATTTTATTGAATATAAATTTACATCACTGAATATGAATATATGAATTTACATATTTCTAAGTATTTGTTCTGTAAATTCTTCTCAAATAGTTAGAAAATCCAATTTCCTTGCTTCTTCACTTTCATTATTTCATTATTTTCAGTCGACATAATTGCTAAAATCTGTCCTGAGTCATTGCTGATCTCAGATAGTTTTTTATTAGTTTTAGTCAGGAAAATGATCTCTCTCCAGAAGCAACGCTTACTAGAATTGTTAAATATATTTGGAGAGCAATAAACAAGCTTGGAAATGCCGTTGTTCTGTCATTTTCCGATAAAAATTTGAACATTTCAAAAAATTCTGATATTTTGAAAAGAGCATTATAAAATTCACCTATTTGGTATTTTACTTCTTTTATACTTTGAATCCAACAAAGAGGCTTCCTCCCTTAAGTTCTTTTACATATTTGAGAAGTACTAACCATCTTTTTGAAGATGCCGAAAACAAAACATATAGGCATTGGAGAATAGCAAAGAAGGCTACAGCTTCAGGGCAAATTTTTGCTACATGTCCCAATACTAGATTATAAATGCAAGAAGCGCAAGGAGTAAATGCCCTTGGATTTTCTTTTAAGAATCTAGCTTGAACACCAGAAGCTTCATCATTTAATACTTAAACCATTGTTATATCCTTGCCCTCTTATCTTATTGATGTCAAGCCCTAAACTTTGCAATTCTTAACACAAAAAATAGATTTTCTCTTGTGCTGCTTTCTACATGTATAAATTTGATAAATTGTTCATATATAGCGATATTTGAGCCTGGTCATGTTCCATCTAAATCATATCTGATGCTAGGAGACATTTGTTCTTGAAGACTGACATCTGGAGTACAAGTGAGAATCACAGCAAAATAGTTTCCATATTTTATTCTATCAATAATTTTATTTTTAATTTGTTGCTATTAAGTTTATTATTTCATTTTGTATTGTTTTGCTTAAGTAACTTTGGTGTATTTGTTTTGTGGCGATTCTTTCTATATGATTCTGCATTACTAGGTCAAATTTTCCAAATCAAGTATTCCTAGAAAATTTCCATCTCGTGCATTGCCTGGGTTTTCAATGGATCCTCTAAGCGCGATATTTTGTTCAGCTAAAAACTGAACTATAGAAAATAATCTTTCAAATATCTTATACAAACAAACTTTTTCTTGGTTCAACAACTTCTGTTGAACATTATCTATTTTTTGCTCAGCAGAAAGTCTTTTTTGAAGCTCTGAACATTTTAACATAGCTACCAAATGAATTTTTGATTTTTCATGTGTGGCTAATGTATTATATATATTTAGTCAGTTGTATGTATTTATTATATAAACATTGTATGCATTTATTATGGCAATACATGTACTTGGTCATTTAGATAAGGTGATTAATCACAAGTTACCACAGCCAGGCAAGTAAACTCGTTTGCCAACTAGGAGTATTCTCATAGACAGCAACAAATGTGTTAACTGAGATTCTTGACCTTTGAGGATTAACATAAATCAGTATGAAAAGCAAGGAATTTAAAAGTAAATTCTATGTTGCATCATAAGCAGATTTTGAATACTGAATGCTAAAAACAACATTGCCCTGAATGAACCAGAAAATAAAGGTATCAAATAAAAAATATGAAAGATCATGGAGTTTTCCAGAACACCGAATTAAAAAGGTTACAATGCGTACTAAAATTAAGCAATACATCTCAAAGAAATACAGTATACTCTCGATTAACTAGGGAAATACAGCAGGCAACATCTGACGTTAACCCAAAATCACATTAAAAAATTTTTTAAATTAGATTTAAAAAAAATTGGCGACAGGATTATATTTAACAGAAAATTAATGTTAAGAATTAAACTCCATTTTTAAATGGTTTTATTACAATAAGTTCAATTGATTACATAAATTAAATCAGACTCCAAAACAGAAAGAACAATGTTTCTGTTTACATTATTCTTGTATTTTGATTGGAGTCAATAGGAAACAGGAGATTAATGGCAGTACACTTAATTAACTTTTTATGGTGTAGTTATGATGGTTATGGCAAAGCACTCAAGGGCTATTTGCATAAGGGAAGGGATGTCTTTATGGAGTACTTTCTAAGGGAAACTAGCTCATATACACGTTACACATGGGAAAAACCATGAAAACACCTATGCAGCCAGGTCATTTGCCAGGATTTCTGAAGCTCAGGCCGAAATACCAGTGTTCACTGAATTTATCACATGTTCACTCGTGGGCATTAATGATTTACCAGTTTATTCTAATGGATAATTTTAAGTACACAGTGAAAAAAAAGGGGGGGGCATATCTCCCGTTCTACTGGACCGATTGACAAAATTCAACTTACGTTTTTATGTCTCGAAAGCGCGACTTAGGATATGTATCCGATTTATATATAGCATTGTTCTACTATAGGTATTTTGACACAAAATCTGACTTTTTCTGAAATAACATATCAATTTTTTTTTTCCATATTTCCATTTTATGACTCAAATTACGTCAAACTACCAAGTTTTGTAAAAATCGCAAGAGTAGTTTTTTTAAAAATTAGCTCCTCAATGTTAATTGAGTCTGGTATATATTTATTAATCTCTCTTTTTTTTTAATTAAACTTATTTGATTCTTCCTTTCACATTTCGAAACTTCAGTTCATTCCAAATAAAATTCACCCATTTTTTACAATTTATTTTTAAAATTTGTATTTAAAAATAATTTTTAGAAATTTTTCAAAAAAAATTGGAGTTATAATCTACAGAATTTTTATTATCATCTTAAAGTAACGTATTTCTAAGCATACCTGCAAAAAATTACAATTTTTTTATTCAAAATTTCCGAAGATATATGTGAATTTATATATTGGTGCATTTTGAAATTTGGCATATTTGTTGTAAGCGATAAAACATCAAATGTGGTCAAATGTGTCACTTTGCTAAAATTATTTGGAAGTAGTAAAGATGCGACTTTTTTTCTGCATAATGCACAATGTAAAAAGGTAGGAACGAGGTGCCTTTTTTCCTGCTCCAATGGAAGGGAAAGTAAAATTGGTTGCCACATAGTAAGAGGTTCGCCAAGTGAGGGCATTCTGGGAGCAAATTGAAAAAAAAAATGTGCCAAGATAAATTTTTGAATTTCTCCATAAATTTTGCACCAAATTTTACAAAATTTAATATCTAGGCATAAACTGAATATTAGAATTCAAATACAGGAAAAAATTGATATGTTATTTCAGAAAAAGTTGGATTTTGTGTTAAAATACCTATATTAGAATAATGCTACATATAAATCTAGTATATATCCTAAGTCGTGCTTTCGAGACATGTAAAACGCAATTTGAATTTTGTCAATTGACCAAGTAGAACGGGAGATATAAAACTCTTTTTTTGGGGGGGGCGCAGTGTACATATATTCCAGAATATGTATATATTTAAATTACATACTACTGTGGATCAAAACTATTCCTAAAAACTATGACATTATCTGCTATCACTGTCTCCCACGTATTTACCTCACTTCCCCCCTTACCTTTCATGTTTTAAACTTACAGTTTGTGACAGTAATTTTTCTATCAATCAGCAATAAACTTAAAATTTTATTCGTACAATGCCTAGTTAACATACAAGCCAGTTAATCAGGAGCTTTGATGGTAAGTAAAATTATTTTTTCTGAGACGTATTAATAGCTAAAATAAGACACTTACTTGATCTGACAGACACAGAAATTTTGCGACTTGATATGATACCGTCATTTTGCAACTCACAAATATATGGACCAGTATCATTCTTCTGTAGATTTTGAATGGTGATAGCTAACTGGTCCTTTGTTTTATTGATAAGAATACGATCTTTCACACTGGATTGTGTAGGCAGTTTCCAACTCAAGTCAAATCTTAAACAAATATTTAGGCAAATGAAAATTATGAAAATAAAAACTATTTTAAAAGAGACAGAATAGCATCAGAAAGCCAGATCCCTCACACTGCAAATTAAAACATAAGGCTACTAAAATTTATGACATAAAAAAAAAAAAAACTGCTTAATTTGCTCTAAAAACATTTTAAACTGTCAGGATATGAAAAAATATCTTTATACAATAAATAAATTACACACACTCTTAAGAATGCACTATAGAGCAACTATGATAAACTAAAGACTAAAGTAAAAAAAAAAAAAAAAAAAATGTTGCATATACAGTCAAAAGTCTTTAATCCGGACTCGTCGGGACTTCGTCGATTCCGGATTATAGATCATCAATTTAAATCTGGTAAGATGGCATGCAGAAATTATAAAATTAAAAATATGAAACTGTAATTTATAAAATAATGAGCAATTATGATCTAAAGGGTATCAAAATTTACAAAAAAAAAAGACGCTTAATATTTATTTGTTTACTTTATTAAATATTAAACATTTCTTTCAACACACGCATGCGTAAAGCATACCTTACGCATAGCCGAAATTAGAAAATTGCAACCAGAAAACTATTTGATTTGTATTCGTGATATTTATAATGATGAGGAATTGGATTTAAATCATATCAAAGACGGAGTACATCGAGATGAAATACTACATTTAGTAAGGCATTATAAGCCGAATAAAATAAAAACATCTGCCCTGAAGATAACGACAGTGCTGACAGATCAACTTCCAGTTCATTGTGCGCCGCAACGTCCCCCCCCCCCAGCAGAGCAGCGTGAAATTGATAAACAGATTTTGGAACGGTTAGATAAACAAAGGCTATGGCTTTATCCATTTTTTGTAGCAATTCGTTTTTTTTTGTTTGATGGACATCGAAACATACTTTCGTTTTCTAGATCCTTTGGGAGCTCCAGCATCGGAAATTCTATTTGACATAATCGAAAGTTCAAGCTTACTTTTATAAAATTGCTCTTACAGTCTACAAAAAATAATAAGCCGGATCCAATTCGAAGATTAAGGAACAACGCAATCATCAACATTAACTGAAATAGATAATTAGAGCTTATACCGTCCGTTATACATTAAACGCGCACGCGAAAATGTATTCTGCGCTTGCGCAAACGCATATGCGCACGCATAAAACGCCTATGTGTGTGCGTCAAAGCGGCGCATGCGCAGAAAGATTAGCTTTGAGATCCGGATTATGGGTGTCCGAATTACGACTTTTGACTGTAGTAAGTCATTGAAATTAAGCAGTAAAGATTAATAAAGAAGAAACAATATTTTCTTACAAATGTTTCTTCTTTTATTAGCCCTCGCTGCTCTTGTAAATGAATGCAAAAAGCAAAATGCTTAAAATATAACTAAGCAATAAGCCAGTCATTAAATGTTTGGAAAACAGGAATATGAAAGGACCTAGAAATGCATCCCCCTCCTTTCACAGACTTGAAAAATACACATACATTTATTTAGACTTAATTTTTAACGTGTTTTATTAATTAAACAAAAAATACAGAAAATGTGGATAAATACCAAAATTTGAACAAAAGTGTTTTTTTTTTTTTTTTTTTTTTTTTTTTTTAAGAGATAAATATAAATTGAAAATATATCTTAAACATCAGAACATTGATTAGCAACCTCCCTCACAAAAGATACACACACACACACACACACAAAAAACCCTCATAAAATAAAAACCAAAACAAACAGTTGAAAAAGAACGAGACTGATCCTATATGGAATAGGAAAATACTGTATATAACTTAATTCTTCATGCGTGTAATTTAACGAATTCAGCTCAAATGAGAAGTTGCAAAGAATAAGGCAAAAGTTTAGTGGTAGCTGTGCTATTTCCGTAGCAAAAAGAAAAATGCGAAATAAGAATTATAGAATAATAATTTTTAAATGGAATTAAACAAATTTTGGCAATTGCGAAATTCAAAATTTTAACTAAAGTTAAAAAAGGAAATAACACCACAAAGTTTTTGCTTATTGGACATAAAACAGAGGCTAAAATAATTATGCTCTTTTTTTAATAACACAGATAGCGGTGTGTACAACTGTTAGGCAGCTTGCCATTTTAAATAACTTAGAAGCCTATCGTGGTTGGACTGTTAAATGCACAGTTTAATTAATTTTTTCCTGATTAACATTCACTTAATTTTTAAAACTGCATCTATTAGCTTAAAATGAGGCTTTTTTTCCCTTTTCCATTTCTTGATTCACCAACCCCCTCCTCAACGACGATGTTCTGGGAAATGTAAAATACATTTTATTTATCTATTAATATAATATTTTAAATTATTCTTTTCCAGTTTTCGCGTCTGAAGAGATTACTTTGTTCGAATTTCATTTCTACACTATTTAGGTTTATCCAATAATTTCGGAATTGCCTTTTTTTTTTTTTTTTTTTTTTTTTAAATATGGTTTGGATTTTTATGGGATTTTATTTTTTAAATGCTTTTACTGCTGTCACCTGACACAATGATTATTTACACTTCTACTCCCCCCCAAAAAATATACCATTTCATTTTTCTACTTAACTGAACTAAATATGATATTTGAATTTGCTTTCACTTTGTTTTGATCTTAATTTAATTATTACTAGTGAATTAAAGCAGTTTACAGCAGGTGATTTTGGCTTTAGGTTTTTAAACTTAATTTTCTTATTTTATCGAAGTTTATTATATCCATACATATGCAAAATTTTCATGATATATTTTACTATTACTAAGAAATTATAATTCATGTTTGTTTAACAGAAGCAAAAAGGAATTACACTTCGTTTTAATTTACAAATGAGTTTTATCATAAGTGTTTCAGGTATGAGTACTTATTTTCTCCTACATTTTATAAAATATAAAAACTTATAAATTTAAAAAAAAAAAAAAAGACGAAGAAGAAGGAAAGAAAGAAAACTGTTGGGGTCTGATTGATTTTGGATTAGGAATAAACATATATAGCACTTTTGAATGTGGGCATTTTAGAGATTAAGAATAAATATATAGAGCATTTTCGCATGGGTACATAACATATACAGTACAGTCAAATACCGAAAATCCACCAACTCCTGAAATCCGCGTTGCCTCTCAAAATATAAACATTCAGTTTATAGGTTCAGGAAACTGCAACATTGAGTACGGAATATCGAAGAAAAAATACTTACCGAATAATGACGTCATAATTACAGAATAATAATGAGTCATAACGGAAATAGCAGATTATTGACATCATGTGTGTGTGTGTGTGTGTGATTATGGCAAAGCCTCGAGGGCTATCTGCCTAAGGGGAGGGATGCCTTCGTGGAGGTCTTTCTAAGGGAAACTGGCTCATATACACGTTACACATGGGGAAAACCACGAAAACACCCATGCAGCCAGCCCGTTCGCGGGATTCGAACCTCGGACCAAACTACCAGTGTTCAGCGACTTTACCGCTTGGCCGCTGGTGGGCCCTATTGACATCATGATAAAAGTGTTTTCTTCTCTAATCTGCATCGAGGTGAGAAAGCAGACGATTCACTCAACTCTTCTTTCAAGTTCACGATTCACGTTGTATTTTCTGAGCTTTGTTATTTCACAAGATTATTTAGTACTGCCTTTTTTTAAAAAAAAATTTGGATATATTGTGGATAAATTAAGAATATTTTTAATTTCAGCCCTTTTTAATACAATTACAGATTAGAAACGCACTCATGATTTTACTGCTTGCAACGTTGGAAAACGTACACACGTTGCATTGACAGTAATGCAAAAAGTGAAAATTCTGCAAAAGATGGAGACAGGTGCTACTCCTCGGTTTATAGCATAATCGTATGGTATTGCGATACGACTGTGTATGATATACAGAAAAATAAAGAAAAGCTGTTGAAATTTTACAGCAACAGTGATTCTAACACCGGATATCTTTGCATGAGGCAAAATCAGCAAACCTCGATGCTGTGTACATATTATACAATGAATAATATAATCAATTTATATACGTAATAATAATTTAACGCATATAATAAATTATTGCAATAATGTATATAATAATTTAATTAAATGTATCTGATACACAATTTTTATTTTGCACTTTGAGTCTGAATATTATGATTTGTTTTTTCTGTCCTGAAATCTGCACAACCTCTGTTCCTAAGCTTTGTGGATTTCTGGAATTCATGTACCAATATATATTTATTCTTTTTGAAAAAACATGCACAATATAGCAAAATTCTAATTTTATACCATTACAAATAATGCATAAAATATTATATATTAAAAAACACTATATAATATTTAAAACTAAATAATAATAATATAGATAATACTTTACTCTTTATCTTGCCACAACTTTGTTTTAACTTTGCAGGTTAAGTTTAGATCAGCACCTTCTTCCAAAACTATGCGTGTGCCATATGGTGAAATATATATGGAATGGGGATCTAAGATGGAAAAATAAAAATATTTAAAATGCCTGATACTGAGTTGAATAAAATAATAATGCACTTAATGTTCTGGCATCTATAAGTTTTAAATGCTTAGTAATAACTAAGTTTTTAGAACAATTTGATAATTTTTTTTAATGCAAGGGATAGACAAATTTATCTGTATTTTAATCGTAGTGTTTAGAACACCTTCAGGTAGTCAGCTGCCTACATAAACTATACTTACAGCCTGATATTTTTCATATCTTCTGCTTTTGTAAATCAAAACTCTGAGAAATATATTTACTGCTCAGTAGAATAGATTCTTGATACAGTATTAAATTATTATTGCTTGATTATTTGTAGTCAAAGAAAACACTTAAAAGTTCTAAGCCAGTATCAAAGATAACATGCATAAAGAAAATGTAGGTTCTTTCCGACTATCTGCATGCCCAAAAAGTATTTGCAAGACAATGCATTATATCCAAAAAATAGCTATGTGGCAACCCAAGTATGCAAGGATGCGCAGCCCTCCAAATTTGATGGTAATTTTTCTGTTTAATGTTTTTTACACTGATTACAATTTTTCCCCCTCTGATGAACTATCAAGAGACTGTGAAGTTTTTTGTCTGATGGGGGGGGGAGAAGCATTTCTTCAGAACACTTTGTCCAACAGTACAAAATGGAAAAAATCTTCATACTTTTAAGCAATCAAATTTTATGGAAATGCAAAAAACGCAAACAAAGTATTAATGGAAGTGAAAAATTATAAGCAAAGTGTCAGAATGCAGTGCCGAATTTGAGCAATTCTCTGGTGTTAAGCACATATTGAGTCCAAGAAAAAAAAAAAAAAAAAAAACAGTAGGCATAGTGTCAAATAGGTGCAATTTTCAGATTTATTTTTAAGCAAAAACAAATCCTTATGTACATCAGGAGAGCAACACACACAAAAATTACATCACAATTTCTTGAAAAAGGTATGATCTTTTATGGAATGGAAAGTACAGCTATTTTGGAAGTGTTCATTACCTTTAAGGTAATCAGAATTTATTTACGTTCATTGCGCATGAATGTTCTGTATTTACCAAAGTATACATTATCTAAACTGTCATCTGAATATTGCCTCTATATTTTACATTGTCATTTTTGCTATTGTTATAATTACTAAGAGTTATTAATAAGAAATGCAATTTTTTTTTTCATACTAATGCAGCATAATTGTACACGAGCTTATAGATATCAACTTCATTTTCAATCTTTAAATTCATTATTATAGTTTTGTCTGTCCTCTGATTGGCTTAGAACAGGGGTTCTTAACTCCGTGCTCGCAAAGCTATTTTTGTGCGCCCACAACTGTCCACTATATACTATATTAGTATCAACCGTGGTGAACCCGCGGCCCAAAAATCGCATTAAATGCAGCTATTTTGAAATTTTTGTTATCTTTTTAATGTAGGGTATTGTTTATGATGCTTATGATTGCAATAAAATAAAGAAATATTAAGAATGGAATAAGGTTAAGGGCCCCTGCTTAGAATTTAAAAACTTCCCCATGTGTGAAGCCACTATGCTTTCACATCATTTCTAAATTCTAAAAGTTGTATTTGATAATGATCACTCATAATACTCTCAGAATAAGAAGAGCTCAAAGTTTTCTGTATATTAACAGAGCTTCTTTTTTTTAAAAAAAAAGTATTAAAAATATTTGATTTATCAAGAAATGATACAAATATTTGATTTATTGATAATATCATTCTTCCATGAAAGATGCAATTCACTTCACATTTGAATATGTGAAAATGGCCATTAAATAAGACTACACATCAATGAAAGGATTTGGAGGTGCAATGTGAAAAGTTAATAAATGAAGGTAAAGTGCACATTTTGACATCTGGTTCAATGGTTTGTGGGTACTGTTTATAACAGTGCAGTGATTTATTTACTGTTGGACAGAGGATCTAAAAAGGATTAAGTGACTAAAGAGGCAACTCAGTCTTTAAAGAAAATAAATCTGTCGACTGCAGAAACAATTTTATAAAAGAGGCAGGTTTTCTACATCTAATCTGACAACCAAATAAGCAAATAGGCGGCCCTGAAATAATAGTAGCTTTAATAAAAGAAAATCTCTTTGCACGGGAAAGGGAAACAAAGCTGGCAGGTTCTTCCAAAACTAATACTGGATATCTGGTAGCTTATGCCAAGAAACTGGCAAATTCTTTTTTGCTCAGGTTCCAAACAGAGAGATAACCATACTCATGGGAAAAAAATCGTCGACCATATACAAAAGTTGATTTATTGAAACTATTGACAAGCTATAAAAGATAAGAAAATGGGAAAGGGGGTTAGAGACGCTTGACAGTAAACCATAAATTTAATTTTGTTGATCCAACAACAACAGCTCATATAAGAAATGTTGAAAAAACTCTGCCACGCTACTAAGCAGTGGAATAAAAATTAATGAGCTCCATTAAGTGGCGGAACAAAAATTACTAAGTTCCATTGAGTGGTGGAATAAAAATCAATGGTAGTTTAAATAAAAAAGGGGGGGGCTAAAAATTTTGGAGATTCTGGATAATTCTTAACTTTTTTGAGGCAACACTGATGCAAACTTCACAGCTTCTCATATACTTCAATTTTTATGTCATTATTTATAGTTTTCAAGTACAGTCACTGATATAATGCTTGAATCTACACCTAAATAATTGACTGTAAAAGAAAAATAGAGACATTGCCTTTCAATAATTGAATGTTAGTCCACACACATTTTTGCAGAAATATTATTTTCTAGTTTATAAATCTGAAAACCTTTTTGTGTTTTTCAATACCAAAACTAACTTTTAAACTTATAGTGGCCTAGTTATTGCATGAGAAATAATTATTTTTTATTTCATATATTTGTTCATGTGTTTAATTATTTTATAAAATTAACTTTAATATTTTGTTAATATTCATATTTATATTTCTTTTATGCTGAATGGCAACTAGTTCTAGTTCTGATTCGTGATTGCTAGGTTTTGGTTTCAAATAGTGTCGTATTTCGATAGCTGGAAAATAAAATGCAATAAACTTAGCTATTTGTTTACAATTCATGCTGTTCCTAATCATAAATTAATTTTGAACATTAGTAGCCAAGGCTACAAACTCATTAGACATCACATTCTTATTTTGCACCAATATTCTTAAATAATTTATTTGTTGTGAAACTAGTCTGAAGTTTTTCATACTTTAAAATACATAGCCTAAAATGAGCAGATGCACATATTTATAATAAACCATACTCTCACTTTGTCTAAAAATATTTTAAAAGAATTATTTTAAGAAATAATCAAAATTTACTATTCAAACAATTTGCAGTAAATCTGAAAATATTTTATGTAACTAGCAATGGAAAAGCAATTACTTTGGAAAGAAATGAAATATTCATGCAATCAACTATTATCTTGGGAATTGGACTTTAAATACAAATTTTTAGAAATGCATTAGCCCTTAGAAAGCCATGGCCGCCATGCTCTGATATCTACTTTAGAGACCAAAAGGCTTTGAATTTTGATAATTTTGAATTTTACAAATTAATTTTACATATAACATTAACTATTATAGCATTTTAATTAAATAATAACTACTTACCAGCAGCTACGTAGCTCAGAAACATGATTATTGGGAATAAGAATTCCATACTATGTATTAAACATAAGCTCTGATAAGAAGTTTACATGAATCTTGTGTAGAAACTTTGCAAATCTTGAGCAGAAACACTTTGCGTTCATTCAAAACAGCATTACAAACCCTCAAGTCTAGAAATTTGAGGATGAATAAATTGTCTGAAAATAAAGATATGGAAAAATAATAAATTTTCAATTAAAAAAAAAGGGGATTCACAGTTTTAAGAGCATTTTTCACCTTTCACATTCTGAATGGAATGCTTTCTTCTCATCAAACAAAATTCACTTAGACACTGAATAAAATACTTTATAAAAATATTCAGGAATGTATCTTCCAGCCAAAGCCAAACATTTCATTATGTACCAGTATAAAAAGAAGCGCACACTAAACAAAAAAGGCTTTCGCTTCTGGAGAACCATTGTCTTGTGGAAATGAGTTCCCAATGAGATGCAATTTGATGGTAGTGTTAAAGCTGTTTCTTTAATTAACCTTTTAACTGTCATGCCCGAGATACTGGTGTTGGAAAATGTCACGCCCGAGTATTTCTCGGGGTAATTTTTTTTTTTTTTTGAGTGCATCGTATTGTCATACCCGAATATATATCGGGAGATGTTTATTTCGGCTACATTTGGTTTTTCCAATAAAAAAATTTGACAATTTGTGTACCCAAATCATCAAAATAGCTTGACAGTTAAAGGGTTAAGTGTTAATCAGTGTTTCTTAAACTATTTGGGGTTGCGAACCCTGAAATTCTGGAGTCGCGAAAATTCCATTCGATAGTTGAATTGAAAGAAACTCCATTCTTAAGACTTTTATAGAAATTACATTAATTGACATTAATGAGATCAGACTATAAAGACATTACATTAATTGATCGATTCAAAAAGCAGAAAAGTTACATAACTTCAAAACTCTTAGGCAGGATTTCAAAGAAAAAAAAAAAAAATTTCAATACTATGAGATATTTTCAGGTTGTGAGACACAACAAACCCAGAACGTGGGAGAAGAAAGGGGAAAATCAATAATCTCCTAAGAAATTATTTATCAACCTACATAAACTAAATGATCAGGACAAGTTGAAAGAATCTAAGGAGTGGAAACCACCCAGATGTTTCGAGTATGGATCGTATTCACATTTGTGATGCTCAGGAGAACTTAAGAATTGCTATGTGCACGAGAGCTAGAGCTTGGCAATTTCTGAAAATTTGGTGATTTCTACTAAGGTAGTTGGGCTAATATTTAAGTATAGATTTTGGTAAAATCCTAGTGTACAGTCCAGCCTTGGCGCGATTTTGAAAATTATCGCCAACACCAAAATGACCCGTTTAACTACTCATTGTACAGTCAAAAGGCGTTAATTTGGACCCCCATAATGCGGAATGATCTATAATCCGGACCTCAAAGCTACAAACTTTCTGCTCATGCGTCGCCTTGACGCATGCGCGTAAGACCTTTACGGCTGCGAATATGTGTGTGCGTATGCGCATAATACGTTTATGCATGTGCATTTAATATATAACGGACCGTATAAGCTAAGCTAAAATTATCTAATTCAGTTAATGTTGCAGATTGCGTTGTTCCTTAATCTTCGAATTGGATCCAGCTTATTTTTTGCAGACTGTTAGAGCAATTTTTTAAAAGTAAGCTTGAACTTTCGATTATGTCAAATAGAATTTCCGATATATATTTACTAATATGTAAAAGATCTACAAAGCGAAAGTATGTTTCGAAGACCATTAAACAAAAAGTGGAATTGCTGCAAAAAATGGATATCCTTTTTTTTTTCAACCATTCCAAATCTGTTTATCAATTTCATGCTGCTCTGCAGCCGGGGGGTGATGCCGTGGCACGCAATGAATTGGAATTTGATTTGTCAGCACTATCCTTATCTTCAGGGCAGATGTTTTTATTTTATTTGGCTTATAATTCCTTACTAAATGTAGTATTTCATCTTGATGTACTCCGTCTTTGATATGATTTAAATCAAATTCCTCGCCATTATAATTTGCTTCCGATAGTGAAGAAATTGACACAAGTTATTGAAAACGAAAAAATTTTGATTGACAAATTAGTCGGTATTCTCGATACAGCAATTACAGGACTTGAACAGCGAAACTTTGTAACTGAACAAGAAATTATGTCTGTTTATAGAATTAAAGAGAAAGTATTATCACTTAAAACGAAGCAATGTAAACAACTTACATTGAAAGAAATGTTTACTAAAGTAAACAAATAAATATTAAGCTTTTTTTTTTTTGTAAATTTTGATACCCTTTAGATCATAATTGTTCTTTATTTCATACACTACGGTTTCATATTTTTAATTTTATAATTTCTGCATGCCATGTTACCAGATTTAAACTGATGATCTATAATCCGGAATCGCCAAAGTCCCGATGAGTTCGGATTAACGACTTTTGACCGTATATGTCCCGTTTACTGCTCATCGTGAAGTCGCCAAAAGTAGCCAAATCTCTTGTGCATCGGATACTACGATTAAACCCAGATTTTTTGAGTATATACTCATTAGCAATATCATCATAAATAGGTTTGGGCAGCAAAATTCCAAAAGTCACTAAGTAGTACTTTAAACACTATTCTTTCTGAAAGATTTCACTTGTCAACAAATAATGTAATCAGTTTAAACGGATAAAAAGTTACAAGCCTTCAAAATTATACACATATTAAAAAATTCAAGGAACGCATCTTGAACTGATGGATATGTACATTTTGGAAGGTTTAATATATGATTTACAACATACATAGATTTAAACAAGATAGCTACCAAATTATATTAAGTGCTGTAATACATATTGATATTTAAAGAATGTGTGGCTAAATATATGTAAAATATACTGAAAATAAATACATCTCATTCTCTTTCCTTTTACATATTTATAAAGTGTGAACAAGTATCAGTATTATTTGGCATAAGAAGTCTTTCCTTTTACATAAAGTGTGCACAAGCATCGGTGTTATTTGGTATAAAAACAATAGTTACAAGACTAGCAATCTAGCACTTACAGGAATACATTAATAGCAAAGTACTCAAAACCCTTTATAGTAAATTTGTTGCAAAATTTAATTATTTCAATACAATCTAGGATTTATTTACTTATTATATTATGCATATGATGACATTATATTTCACAATTTGGTACCTTTCCTTACTCAAAATACAATAATGTAATATATAACAAAAAGAAAAAAAAAAAAAAAAAAAAGAGAACTGAACATGAACTGACTGATATTTTTATTCTGGGAAGATTTTATATATATAATAAAAACAAGTTTTAGAAGTACTGATGTAGGAACACTGAGACATAGAAACACAGAAATTCTGATGATGAAGTACGCATATAGCTTAAAACCTAGATCAATACCGAGGAGGAAGAAGTTGAGATGGAAAAATTCCAATTTATTGATATTGACATTTGTGGCCCCACAATTCCTTTGGCACTCCAATCATGCCTATTTCTAAAACATTTACATTTTTGATACTATTGCAATAGGAAGAAAAGTATAGCGAAAGACTGTCCAAGCACCGCACCACAGAAGGCAGAAGGAAGGTGCACATTTACCCAATTGGCAGTCTGCTATGAGAAAGGTTTCAGTTCTCAAGAGCTTAAGTTACCAAATTAACTACATAACAGCGTTATGCAAGCTCTGTGGCATAGATTTATCTAGAAATAGTGCAGTCTAGGTATGTTGAATGTTGTTGTTATTTTTAGAATACAGAGACGAAATACCCGAGGAATTAAGAGACTATTACTAAACTAGACTAATTCATAAATTATTAAGCAGATTTATGTATTTTTTATCACTAGGTGATTTTCTTGTTAGGAAATCTAATATTCCTAATAAAAAATACGATATACTCGCATTTTGCTAGATATGATACTTAGAGCATACTGAAAATAGCACTTTTCAGAATCCAGAAACTTATGCATACAAGGTTGTTCAATAAGTTCACGGAGCGCCATCTATTCATCAATATTAGACCTAAAACTTCAACGCCATTTTCCTATTTGTTTCTTCTTAGGAACATGTCAAAAGTTTCATTTCGATCTGTTAATTTATTCATTGTTTAACCGCCCTTTATATCTAACGTGTTGTGCCTTTTTTCAGGTATGGATAAAATTGAGCAACATGCAGTTATCAAATTCTTTGTAAAGAAAGGTTTAAAAGCAATGGAAATTCATACCGAAATGGTGAATGTGTTGGGTGAATCTGCTACTTCGAAAACAATGGCTTGCAAGTGGGCTAGTTTATTCAAAAGTGGTTGTACTAGCCTTGAAGACGATACGCGAGAGGGACGTCCAAAAATTGCATCAACACCGGAAATAATCGAAAAAATACAAGATATGGTATTGGAAGACCGGCGATTGACTGAAAGAGATTTAACAGAGGCTTTAAGCATTTCATTGGGCACAGTGAGCAATATTTTGAATGTTAATTTGGGTTTCAAAAAACTCTGTGTAAAATGGGTGCCGCATTCTCTAACGATGGAGCAAAAACACATTCGGATGAGACTTTTGCAACATTTGGAGCGTTTTAAGAAGAATAAAAGTGGCTTTATCCATCTATTTATCACAATGGATGAGGCTTGGGTCTACCATCATGATCCTGAATCAAAACAGGAGGCTAAGGAGTGGTGTGAACCCGGCTCTTCGGCGCCGAAGCAAGTTCGTGTGCAAAAATCAGCCAAGAAGGTGTTAGCATCAGTTTTTTGGGATGCGAAAGGAATTTTGTTTATAGATTACCTTCAAACTTGCAAAACAATTAATTCGGATTATTATTGTAACCTTTTGAATCAATTAGATGAAAAAATTCGTGAAAAAAGACCCGGATTACAGAAGAAGAAAATCATTTTCCACCAAGATAACACACCTGCGCACACAGCTCAAAAAAAACATTGCTAAAATAACTGAATTGAAGTACGAATTGTTGCAACATCCAGCCTTTTCGCCAGATTTAGCTCTCTCCGACTTCTGGCTCTTTCCACATCTCAAACAATATCTCCGTGGAAAACGAATTTTCTTTAAACGAAGAGGTAATAGCTGCAATGGAGGGATATTTTACAGAGCCGCCGAAAAACCAATATAGTCAAGGGATCCATAAATTAGAAGGCCGTTCAGAATAAAGTGTATTGAAGTTGAGGGAAACTACGTTGAAAAAAAAAAAAAAGTCATTTTTACAAATAAAAATTGGTTTCTTCATTTCTGTTCCGCGAACTTATTGAACAACCTGGTATAAATTAACAAACTCAGAAAGACATGTATTAATGCAACATTTAGTAATAAATTTTTCAATTATGAATACAGTCTGCTTAGGCTGAGGCCAGTCATAGTTCTGTTTCATTTCATCATATAGTTTAACCAAAGTCTGCTTTAATATGCAAAACAAGTATAAGCCAATTTTTTATGAAACCATACAATTTCACTTGGCTTTCCCAGAGAAAATTATTCAGCACATTTGGTTCATTTTAGTTCCAAATACCAATCTACTCCCAGTGTTTATGATACTTGACAGGATTATTTCATTTCATTTTGACTTAGCTAGGTTTTAACATCAGTCATCTAAATATTTTACAGGACACCCCAAAATAATGAACAAAATATTTTAACCTTCAGATATTTTGTCTTCTTACCTTTAGCAAAGTAATTTATGATTCAAACGAAGAAATCCTGCATAAACACAATGAGCAAATATTTCAGAATTCACAAACTCTACAAAGCACTGTAATCCAATGGCGTTTGATCAAATATATCTAATTCAATTTAAATGAAAGATTTGTGGCAGTTTAACTGCAACAGGATTCATGAACTCTATTTACTTTCTAACTCCAACTTTAACTTCTGTATCTTTGTTAAAGAAACTTTATGTATCTAATGGTAACCATACATGGATCTCAGTGGTATAGACTCACAGTGTGCAGATGCTCACATTCTTGTAATTTGTTTTTGTAAAAGATAAAAGCTGCTGTGAAGATGACTAGTGATTTATTTTATTACATGAATTACTGCCTCTTCCAGTATTATAAAATTATAGTTTAACCTAGTACAGTGGTAATCCAACAATAATGATCTGGACGTATCACTTTCATTTTCAGTGATTTTATAAATATCTATTCAAGCTAATGTTATTTGCATCAGGATATATTCTACATAACAACTGTAGAGAATTGTTTTAGAAAAATGATAATTTCAATATTAACTTATTTAGCTGAAAAAATAACAAATTTTATGGTATCTTTTTGGTGTACATTGTTTATAATACGGAATTGTACAAAAGTTCTAGATCCATGTATACTTTGATCTTAGCCAAAAGGCCGAAAAGCGATCTAGATCCATGTACAGTGGAACTTCAAATCACGAACAACCTACTTCACAAATTATTTATTTGGAAACAAACAAATGTCTGGATGACAAATGGTTTTCAAATGCCTTTTTTTTAGGTAGCCTGACTATTATAATTGATATTCATGCATTTTTGGGAACATTTTAATATTTTCCATTCCCTAAGAAAGCCTGGCAGCAAATGACTAACATAGCCTTGAATCTAGCATGGGGGAAATTATGTCCATATTGGGTTGCAAATAGACAGTTTAAAAATTTCGATATTTAAGACTTATGATACTGTGTCTCTAGGCAAATCCAATGAGGTAATCGTGGAGAAATTAGTAAAAGTTCGCAAAAACGAGCTAATATAATAGAAAGCAATAACAAAACGTGATTGTAGGTGGGAAATTATAAAAAAGAAAATGCTAGATCTCTAATCTAGAAAGTCTCTGTTAAACTGGATCAGATGCAATTTTCAAGCAACGTTGTTACTCCGATAAAGCAATACCAAGGTAAAGTATATGCATTTCAATGACAATGCCATGTCTAATTTTAGAAACATTTTAAAAAGTGGGCAACAATAAATCACATACAACCAATTTCAGGTGAAAGAAAGGCACAGTGTGTCTTAAGCAGAGTGTATTGTCACTTCGCAACAAATATATGATTAAAAGAAGATGCCTTCTAAAGACAGTTACACAATATTTTTATGGAACGGCATTTTCCAACTATACAATAACATCTTACTCATTTTAAACTTATGCTATGCATTCTCCTTTATACAGGTACAGTAAAATTAAACCAAATTTTCATCTATTTTATCTGTTTACTATTGCGTTCACGTTTCTTCCACGCAGAGATAATAATAAGGGTCAGTTTATTTTACAACAGCTTCAAAATACTACCGCAATGTTTAAATAAGTAATTAAGTAAGGTCGAGGAACAAATCAATCCATTTTACATTATTTTCTGTGGAAAAAACTGGGTTGATTCGGTTTACGAACGGCCTTACAGAATGAATTAAAATCGTACTGTTAAGCAATATTTCACTTTTCGCAAATACATCGGTAGAACGCAGAAGATATTTCATTGAATACAATGCTCGTGATAATGTAAATAAAGGACCGAGAAAGTTTAGAATTTTTGTTTACGGTTTCCAGATTTGTTTAAAAATCAATTTTCACGACATAACTAAGTCGTAATTCATTATAATACGCTCATCAATTGCAATAATTTATCCATTGTTCAAAATCCGAAGGATTAACACATTTACGTTGCAAAAAATGTGCAATATGCCAGAAGTCGGCAGCATTTTTGTTTTAGGGAAATTTAAGTTCAGAAAACGAAACACACCTTTTCGCAGTGCTAAATTCAATAGAGTTATAAAAAATAAAGGTTTTTTTAAATGTAACAGCTTACAACGGTTTACGAAAATAAAGTACCTTTTACGTCAAAACAATATTCATCACTTTCACAGCACAAACATTAGAAAAATAAACACTACTCTCTTTCGAAATTTCTCCGGAGTGTCTACCCGTCCGATACTGGAAGATTGGTTCAAAGCTGTATGGGCTTTGGGTTGGCTAATATCCACTTCGGTAGTACTAGATATCCGATTAGTTGCGCAGAAACAGGTTTTCGATATCTACGCAATCGTATATATCCTACACGGAGTATAAACTCCGTGATTTCCTATTTAGGGTAATTTTTTTAGAACGTTGCCAGATTGTGATGGTGTCCTGGAGGATGAATTTTCGTTTGGTGTCTACCGCTCCACGGTGTAAGTTGTTTTTACTTAAATGAATAGCATTTTAATGGGAATTAAATATTTCTTAAACAAACTCATTTTCTCTTGATTTTATTGATGTGTAAGTAAGTAAAAATTATTTTTTGAATTTGTAATTATTTAATTAATTTCCAGTGAAAAATTAATTGTTAACTACACGTAATTTCTCTGTATTTTTCGTTATACAAAATTTAAGAAATTATTGCTCTGGAAGAAATTAAATATTATTTTTCTAATGTATATTCTCGATTCAGAGTATGAAATATGATTTACTTGGAGACACAGTATGAATCCTAATTAGGCATTTTCTTTATAAAATTATTTCTTTCTTATCCAATATCAGAAACATTAGTAAATAAGTCACATGATTTGAAAAATACTTTTTTTGCTTGCTTGTATAACTGCACAAAATTGATTTGTGGGTTGCTTATAAGCACAGAAGGGCTATTTTGTCTCGAAATGATTTGTGTATCGCTGATCAGCCCAGTACGTTAGAGCAGAAGAGCTATTTTGGAATGGCAATTGTGCGTCGGTTCTCTAAGAAATGGCATTGTGCGTCGGTTCTCTAAGATGTCCGTTTTATTCAAGGAAGTCACTTTTCACATTGTTGCGACCAAATATTATCGTCCTGTATTACATTTAAAGAAGTAAAATAATGAAGACTCTGCATAAACGTATGGACTCTGCATGAACCTATAGACTATGTATACGGTAATCTACGATAGCATTATGTATGTAACTATGTATGTATATGTAAACAAGAATGATTACACATACGCATACATGTTATTACTACACCACGGTCAAACTGTGTAGCAGGCTCATACAGCTAAATTGTAGCATATCCTTACATTTATATGCTTTGCTGAACAAATGTGCATATTTTTATGTTTATGTCAAATGAGCAGTGGTGCTAAATGTCTCGCTGAACAAATAAAATGTTGCTTAAATTTGAAAATAATTTAGTTATCATTTCAGCTAGCAGTAGTTATTGGAAACCAGCTTTATCATGCTTTTGGTTGAGCACATTCAATCAGACGCACTAAGATTAGAATGTTCCGAATTTGTACTTATCTAGGTAATTTTAATAGAATTATAAGTAAAATTGTTGTATTTCTTTTCCAACACGAAAAATCTAGAGAAGCTAAGCGAAAAAAGTAAAAGTAAAGGGGCAAGTGCATTTAGCATTAAGTAAACGAGTAACTCGGTAATTTTGCTAGATATCGCCAAGCTGATAACGATTTTTGGCGACTTATTTTGTCGCCAAGTGAGGCGAGAATATTTTACCACCAAATGTGGCCAATATTGGGCGACATTTTGTTCCGGTCCCCGAATGAGCGTAATATGTATTGAAATCGAATAAATGTAATTGATCGCTATGTTAGCTATAACCGTAATCTCACACTCATATTGCTTTTCATAAATTTCGAGAAGTAGTTGAAATGTCTCGGGGGCCGCTTGAAGACTATAAGATCTGGATAAAGAGCATCTGAGTTCAGTTGCTTCGTTATTATTGCATTGCGTTGTGTTTAAAGTTTTTAGTAGTTTCAAGTGTAACTATTTGTGTAACTGTTTACTATCGTAAACACTTGCACGAATATTTCTGTGGTTCTGAAATATTTCTTTTGACAAAAATAATTTTTATTAACCAATTATCGGACTTATGCATTCAATCTATTACGAACCCGATCGCACTGAACACTTTATGGTGGCAGCGGTGGGCCTGAATGCATGTGACAACAGGGATGGGGAGCAACTGAGGCAGCTGGTGATTGCCTTTGCTGCATTCCCAAGCAAGAGTGAAGGCCCCGTCAACTCCGTCAAAGAAGAAATAAAAGCTGGTCTAGGAAAGATGAAAGGTGGCCAAGAATCCTTTAAAGTAGAGATGCTGTTCAAGAAAGATGGAAGCTGGCCAAGAATGATTCAAGCAGGTTATCAAAAAAGGAAAAGAGAAAGTGCCTGCATAATAGAAAAAAATTTGAGGCTATGGAAGGCAAAATAGACGCGGTTGAAAATAAAATTGGACAAACTGAAGAAAAGGTTTCTTCTGTGAAAGAAAAAATAGAAGAGAAAGTTTCTGCCGTGGAACAACAAATCCATTACAGTGTTTCTTCTGTCAAAGAACAGATAGAAGAGAGAGTTTCTGCCGTGGAACAACAAATTGATGACAATGTTTCTGCGGTCGTTATAGAAGTTGATAGCTTGAAAAAATTCGTAGCGATAGCAGGAAGCAATTCTTATAGTTTTACATTTATACCATGCCTGCTCGTCTCTCACCGAACGTATCCATGTATAATGGAAAGACCTCCTGGAAAGTATATAAGATACAATTTTCTATAGTGGCGGATGTGAATAGATGGGATATCCAAACTAAGGGCTGCCTTCTCGCCGCTTTTCTGCGAGCAGACGCTGCGGATATTCTTCAAACTCTTCCAGAAAACTTCGGAGCCCTATCCGGCGCGTTTGGAGCTCCGCTTTGGCGACGTGTTTAACATATGAGATTACAGCAGACTTCAGTTAAAATCCCGTCAACAGAAGCCCACGGAAACTCTCCAGGAACTTGCCACGGATGCTGAAAGGCTGTCTCATCTCGCCTTTTCAGAATGCCCAACAGAAAAAAGGGAAATCCTGTCCCTGCAATATTCCCTTGACGGCATTCGGAATCCTGAAATACAGAAAGCTCTACGAATGGGAGATGTAAAGGACTTAAAAAGCGCTCTAGTGTACAACATGAAATTCGAGGCAGCCCTGCAAACAGCTCGTAGAGACAGCCAGCTAATCAGAGCTGCATAAGTCAAAAAGCCAGTGGATCAAATGGCTGCCATCTAGACGATTTAGCCAGACAACTCAATGCCTTGAGACGGAATATTAGTGACGAGAAACTGACTCTAAAGTGCTGGAAATGTGGTATTGAAAGCCATGTTTGAAGGAACTATAGAACATCCCAGAGCATGGAAAATAAGACAGACGATTTAAACAAGTCGATGCCATGAGACGATTTAAAGTCAATGCCTTGAGACGGAATAGGAGTGACAAGAAACCATCCCTAAAGTGCTGGAACTGAGATGCTAAAGACCATGTACAAAAGAAACTGTAGAGTACTCCCAGGGCACAGAAAATAAGACTATTTCCCAGATATGGCGCAGAAAACAAATGGGTGGCTATCTCGCAGAGGAGTTTGAACGATAATTAAAAACGCATTTGGACGGCATCCTGTGTTACCCTTCAGACTGTGTCTGGCGATAAAATCGAAATTGATGGGAAATTAAACGTAAATATCAGATTTGGAAGTGCCGCATACCATTATACGGCATATGATGGTATGCGTCCTTGCATACTCGGATTGGACTTTCTAAGGGAATCAAACTGCGTTCAACCTCTGAGGACATCACTATCCGTCATCGGAAGGGATCATCACATGGAAACGCCAGCGTCCTGGCTAGAGGACCTTGCTCAGAAACTGCTGATATTGTTCTAGGGTCGAAGGGAAATACTAGCTTCTGAATCCGGTCGTACGCCAAGTTACGACTTCAACATCTACTGTTTGATACACGTGAGGTGACGACGAAGTCAGGAAAGACCAGATGGAAGACGGCGACAGTAAACCCATAACTGAATTAATGGAGTCTTCAAGCAGTAAACCCACCTGGCAGGACAATTCGATCTATAGTCTTATGACAAAACAATACTAGGCTCTCTGGGACTCACTTCATATTAGAAACGGCGTCTTTTACCGGAAATTCGAATCGGATGATGGAAAGGCTTTCCAATGGCAGCCTATCCTTCTAAGATCCCGGATTCCGGACGTCCACAAAGAACTATATAGCAGCCTACTTCGGAATAATTAGGACTTTTCAGAGAGTTCGAGGGCGCTTCTACTGGAGTAATGCAAAGGATGACGTGCAAAATTGATGCCAATCTTGCGATGCCTGTGCGAGGCGGAAGGGACCGAAGAAACGCAGCCCAGGGAAGCTACAACGTTACAATGTACTAGCGCCTTTGGAACGTATCGCCTTTGACATCCTGGGATCCGTGCCACGAACTGTTGATGGCAACAATTACGTACTCATTGTCATTGTTTAATTCAACCAAGGGGTCTGAAGCATATCCTGTTCCTGATCAAAAGTTAGCAGAGGTAATGGGACAGCATTCGATTTCCAGCTTCGGAGTGCCTCTCCGGTTACATTTCGACCAAGGAAGAAATTTTGCATCGGCTGTAACTTTGCAAGCTACTGGGCATTGACGAAACCTAAACGACACCTTTACATCCACAGCCAGACGGCATACTAGAGAGAATTCATTAGTAACCTCTCGTTGGTGGTTTCTAGAAACCGGCTGGTCTAGGACTAGAAGTTACTTCTATTTTTATTGGCTTATCGCAGTGCTGGTCACGGGACTACCGGCTATTCCCCATCTCAGATGCTCTCCGGTCGTGACCTTTCTCTGCTTTGTGATCTCTTCTTTGGTCGCCTTCCGGATGCTCCTAGGGAGTACATCCAAAATCTCCAAGCACGGTTTGAAGTGATGCATAGTTTTGCTCGAGAGCGAGTCAATTTGGCGACGGAGGAGATGAAGACCCGATATAACATGAGAGCTGCAGGACATTGATTCAACGAAGGAGCCAATGTCTGGTTATGAAATCCGATTCGACGGAAAGGACTCTGTCCTAAACCACAGTCACCTAGGGATGGTCCATACACAGATCTAAACAGGCTGAACGACGTCGTAGTTCGGATCCGTAAGTCCTCGACTTCTAAGCCTAAGGTCGTTCATGGCTAGCTGTTTACTATGGTCATAGTACGTTGTGTATATTGTGTAAATCGCATAAGACCATGGTCCTATTCGTTTCTAAATTTGCAAATTTGCGCATTAATTTATTGACTTAGTATTTGATTTGTTTTATGTTATTTATTGCAATTATTGCTTAAGATTATTGTTGTTAGTTTCTTTAGTTGTAAATATGGCTTCTTGTCCAGAGATCGTACTGCCCGGGACGTGCAGTCCTTCGGAAGGCGATCATGTTACGAATTTTGTACTTAGGTAGGTAATTTTAATAGAATATAATTCTACTAGTAAAATTCTTGTATTTCTTTTGTAACATGAAAAATCTAAAGAGAGGCTATACCGGATGTGTAAGAGTACACGGCCAAGTGTATTTAACTTTGAGTAAATGGGTATTTAGGTAATTTAGCGAGATATCGCGAAACTGACAACGGATTTTGCGAGAAATCGCCAAAATCACCAAATTTGGCAGCATTTTGGTGCGGTCCCTGTATCAGCGTAATATACATTGAAATTAAATGAATGTTATTGAGCACTATGTTAGCTGTAACCGTAATCCCCCACTATTATTACTTTCCAGTAATTTCGAGAAACAGAAAGTAGTATAAATGCCTCGGGGGTCATTGAGTACTATAAAAGCACGGTGAGAAAGCATCTGAATTCAGCTGCTTAGTTATTGTTGTTGCGAGTCGATAAATCCCAGATAGTTTCTCTTTAGATGAGATTTGCATAACCTTGTGTTTATTGTTCTGTAGAGACATTAGAATGTGTTTGGAAGCAGGCACGATGAAAAATTAGCAATCGCCTCGACGGGAATCGAACCACGGACTTCTGGAATACCGGCCTGGCGTGCAGAACCACTACACTACGAAGGCACGCTAGGAAAGTGGGAAAAATACCTTATATACTCCCCCTTTTGAAAGGGCGATTGTTTTTAGGGAACCCAATCGCCAAATCCTGGGTGTGGAGAATCCTCATCCAACACTCTTTTAGTTCGGGCGCCACTGTAGAGAGATTAGGTGTTTTTTGGAAGCAGGCAGGATGAAAAATGAGCAACGCCTTCGCCGGAAATCGAACCACGGACCTCTGAAATACTGGCTCAGCGTGCTGACCACTATACCACGAAGGCACGCTAGGGAAGTGGGAGAAATACCTTATAGTTCTTAGTAGTTTGAAGTGTAACTACTGGCTGATTATTTTCGGAAATGCATGACCCCAGGACGTCTTGTGCAGTAACTAGGTCTAGCCTACAGGGTGCGTCATGTGAAGTGATATTCCTATGAATTCGTTTTAAGATTTAAAAGTGTGTGCTTGTATTTTAATATCTCACCTTCCTTTCGCTTGGCTGATACTGACATAATATGCATCAGTCCAATGTCCTGTTTATTCTGGATGGAAGTGCAAACTGGGGGAGAACAACGTTTTTTTTTTTTTTTTTTTACAGATGTTCTTGTTGTTGTCCTATGGTGGGGAACTCTCATACTGAAAAGTAACTGCTGCATTTGAAAATCTTAGGATCTCAAAAATGTGCTCCTTAGAAATTCCTTTTAAAATGTCTCTCTCTTGAAGAAAAATTACAAAATGTTGTCAATTTTGGAATAAAAATCTTTTCTTAAAATTCAGTTGATTTTACCAGCTCCTATCTATCTATCTATCTATCTATCTATCTATCTATCTATCTATCTATCTATCTATATGTATATATATAAAACATATAGTAAAATACAAATAAGCAATAAAATGCATAAACGCAAATATTTACAAAAAATTATAAGAACACCCAGTCCTCCTTGAGCACAGAAATTCCATTTTCGGCTAAATTGTAAAGTTTCCGACGAAAAGAAGGTAATTCTAATAACGTGAATGAATTGACATTATTCTATTATTTAGCTATTTTATTCAGTTAGGTTATTCTCTCAATAACATTTGAATTACAAGAAAATATATAAAGCAAAAACATAATTCGGAGTCACATTTTTAAGACTTTTGTCATTGAACAGAAACGCTTGTAAGGAAACATTTCCTTAAAATATGTACAGAATAATTTCTCGGTATAAGAATTAAAGACTATTTTGTTCTAGAAAAAGAATGCTTTTTGTTTGTTCACACTCTGCACAGAGAGAAAATTCTACAACTTTTGGTTAGAACTCCGAAATATGTTCTTTGAGACTTTAAAAAACCAAATAAAAAGCATGAAAAACCAGTACTTATTGCAAAAAAAAAAAATTACTGAAAAGAACCCCTTTTCGATCTTTTATCATATTCTTTTTTTTATTTCGCTTTACTTCGACTGGAAAAAGAACTCAATGGTTTCTACCAAAGTTTAGGGAAAATAAAAAGAATTTCTACCTCGTAAAGACTTTTGAAAAGCTGCAAGGTTCTGTATTTGTCCAGAAATCTGAGATTTGATTTTTAAGTCTGGGTACATAAAGAATCTGATTTGATGTTACGAGTGATATAATGTGCTGTAGAAATTTGGGAAAAAAGCAGCGATCAGTTATTCGCTTCAAGAAAATGTCATGCTATCTAAAGAGACCAGTACTCATAAGACATTTGCGATAGTAGACCATTTTTCTTCAGATGACTGAAAGAACTTCATTGCAGAAATTCACCCTTTAATACTTGATTTAAAAGTCTTAGGAACAAGATATTGTCAGAATGCCATCTCTTTTTCAAAAGAGGTGTAAGTCTAACGTGCACTATAAATAACATTACATGTAAAATATTTTATTTCAGTAAAATTAATTTCAATTAAATAAAATTTTTGACGCTTTCAAGTAACTGATTTTTAAATTTATAATTAAATTGAATTTGAAATAAATTACTCAGAAGATTCAGTATTTTAAAGTTCAGTATTTAATTGTCAGTATTTTAAAACTGAGTGAATCTTGATAAATATGTAAAATCTATGACTTTTTTCCCCTTTGTACAAAGTATAGGAAGTACTCTAATCGCGAAAAATTTTGGGTATCATATTTCAACAGAAATATCCATTTTAACCGCTCTCGAATCCATTTTAACAATGGTTTTGTGTGATGGACAGAATAAAGGACTTTTTTCCCCCCGAAACGGAATATAGAATGGATTTAAAATGGATTCAGAAGAGATTTCCTTCGTTGTGTCTGTAGGTACGTATGTATGTATTTCTCACAGCTCGAAAACCAGTAAAATCAGAACGTTGAAATTTTGTATATGGGACTGCTATGACATGTAGTTGTGCACCTCCCTTTTTAGTTGCAATCCAAAGTAAGTACTGAAAAAATATATATTATACACTCAACGTGCTACCCGGTTTTAAGAGCTCAAATTTTTTGTTCTTATAGGTTAGTAAATTCTGCCTTTTCTGATTTCAAAATCATTGAATTATGTTGTTCATATGTTCCGGCTAAGGTTTTATCATCTTTAATTAATATGCACGCAATAGTTGTAGAATTATCAACAGTTTAAGAGTTGGTTAAGTGCTACTAATCCTAACGAAGCCGCCATTTACTTACATTTAGAACTCTTAGTAGAATAGTAATTCAGTCAGTTTCTGCACCAACTTTTTGCCGAGTGGACCAAAAATAAACTTCCTAATGAAACACAGCTCATCAAAGGCTAGCTATGATTGATTTCCATCGAATACGTTCCAAGCTTCTGAATCATTAATTAGCTCCAAAATCTCCTACTGATATTCACCAAGAAGTTCTTTAACCGACACTAAATCCAAATCAGCATCGATGAATTCAGGAAAATATCGTCGAAATTTAATCTCTAATGCTGTCAAGTGTTGCAAAATTTAATTTTTAATAATTGAGAAGGAATCAATGAATTATATGATATTTTATTTTTACGTAGCATTTGAAGAGTTAGTTTATTCATTGTTTTTTATGACTTGCATATTGAATAAACGTATTTGTAACGTGATACATTATTTGAAGATTATAAATATATTAAAATATTAGCCAAATAACAAAGGCAAGTGAGTAATTTCTCATCTTCACACGAAGGAAAAAAATTCCATTTTGCTCTAGATTTAAAAATAATTTGAGATCACTTTCTAGCTCCAGCATTCTATGAATCACTTTTTCTCTTCAAAATCTTGTGTGGAAAAGAAGAAGCAGGCGATAATTTGCATCTACGAAATTCAACTGCTTGAATAGTTGTGAAGTTGGAGACTTTTCGTTATACAAAGTTCAAAGTTTTAAGCGTTCATTCAAACCCTTTATTTGCATAACTCTTGTCGATATATCACACAGTGAGTTGCTTTCGCCCATGGAGAATTTTTTTACACAAGTTTAAAACCCAGAGTTAGTGTCCCATATAATGAGCACTTCATCAATATACAGGGTGTTTATGAAGTCCCGGACCCATTTTGATGTTTACTAACTCATAAAATAATAAAGATAGATTAAAATTAATAACATAAATGGTTAGATAGACTCAAAAAGTTTCATGAGCCTTGTCAATGAACTCCCACGTGTGCCACCTTCGTCGCACGGAGAATATCAAGACGACATTCAATTTCACGCCAGGTAGCGGCAAGCATGTCGGCATCCACAGAGGCTTTGCGGTTGTAATTCTGGCTTTTAGGCCATCAATGTTCGACACTCTGCTCCTGTAAACGTTGTCCTTTACAAATCCCCAAAGGAAAAAGTCCATAACATTGCAATAGTTGCCAAAAACAAAAGAGAGAAAAATGAAATTAATAAGCAGACGATATTTAGAAAAGTACAGATATCTAGACTGGAAAATGAAATTATTTGAAATTAACCACACGCGCAGACGATATTTACAAAAGTAAAGATATTCAAACCTGAAAAGGAAAATATATAAGTTGTTCCATC